TACTCTTGCCCGTCAGGAGAGGGCTCCTTTGGACCAGGGGGAGGCTTGTTAGCTGGTCCAGATTCTGGTGCTGAGGCAAGAAGATTCCAGTCCTCCCTTCTACCACATATCTTGCTCCATAGTTCTCGCTGTGAAGCTCTGAACCTCCTTTCTCTTCCTCCCTTCTCTCGCCTTCTTGCCCCCATGCTGCAGTACACGCTGTGGAGAGTAAGTGGCCCTGCCCCTGGGAGGCCAAGCCCCGGCATCTGGGGCAGCCTCCCCTCCCAGGATGGGGGGAGGTTTGCATGGGCCTGGGATTGGGGCCTTCTCTGGCCTGGCTGCTGGGTGACTCTGGATGAGTTGGGGTTCCTTGCAGCAGAAGGGATCAGGGTCAGAAGGCAGGAAGAACTTATTCTGGAACAGGTAGTACTGGGTACCCACAGGATTTTCTTTGCTGGCGGGCGCTGGGGGAGGGGGCAGAGGAGTCAAGGAAAGAGCTTGGACAGCATCTCGGGTCCCACCTCACTTTGGGATTCAGTGATTGGCCATCAGCCCCAGTTAATGAGAGACCAGAATGGGTGGGTTTTGTTTCCTGAGATGCAAGCAGGGCCTTGGTGGGAGTGAGGCGTGGAGCAGTGCCCGTAACGGGCTCCCTGTGTGTGTCAGGGGAGAGCTGGGGCCTGTGTTCTTCAGGGCCCCGAGGAGGGCATGGCCTCTCCCCCAGGCCCAAGGAAGGCCCTTTCTGGCTGCCCTCGAGCAAGGCCAGGCCGGGAGGGAGGGGCTGCATGAAGGGTCAAAGACGAGCCGGGCAGGTCGCACTCCAGACAGGAGAGTGAGGAGGCCTGAGTGAGGACACTGAGGGAGTTGGGGGGCCAGGCCTGCTCCACCTGGTGACACCTTCCTCCTTCTCTCCTAGTCCATGACTTGCAGAGCTTCGGCCTCGACAACGTACGTACCAGCCGGAAATCATAGAGGGCGGGTGGGGTGGGAGGTGGCGGCTGCCTTCATTTCTCTGTAGCGACGTCCTGGGTTGGGGAGCAGATAAAGAAAAATAAAGAAAGAATCTGGACCAGATCATACCATGTTTTGACAGAGGATCCAGACTGAGGGTTGAGTCACAGGGAATGACTTTTGACCTGCAATCTGTGCGGGCTGGAGACAGGAGATGGGGTTGGACAAGAGCATCTTGGACATGGTCAGGAGGGACTGTGGCACTTCTCATGAACCACAGGGCCAGTGTGGATGGATGAGGTTGGAGAGGTTGCTGGACACCAGGCTGCAGGACTCAGGCCGTGCTGGAGAGTCTGCTCTTCGTCCTGAGGGCAGTGGGGGGCCGCCAGCCCCCCTTAACCAGGGGCATGACATAATCAGATATGCATATTTTTAAAGATCCTGCTCATGTCTGAGTTTGATATAGGCTAGAACAGGGCAGGAATGGGAGCTGGGGCCCCTTCCCAGTCTGTGTTTGCCTAAAGGATGGGTGCAGCCGGGATCTCAAACATTGGAGCCCCAGCAGCCCACAGACTCTGCGAAGGAGGAGTTCCTGGGTGGGGAGATGGGGTCCCTGTCTCAGATTCCCCCAGACAGGGTCCCTCCCTCCCACCCGCATCTCCACACATTCACTCCCAGGCCCAGGTGTCCCTGTCTGCTGCTGTCCTGCAGAGCTTTTGATGGGGTGGGGCCTGCTGGGGGCCTTGAGCGCTCTGAGTCTCAGACACTGGTGTTGCTTGCAGATCAACATGACCCACTACATCCGGCACTTGTCATTTGGGGAGGACTACCCAGGCATTGTGAACCCCCTAGACCACACCAATGTCACCGCACTTCAAGGTACCAGTCTAAGAGGTAGCCCCCAGTCCCAAAGTCCTGTGTGACACCTTTGCCCAGTGCCCTCTTCTCCCTGCAGCTTCCATGATGTTCCAGTACTTTGTGAAGGTGGTACCCACTGTGTACATGAAGCTAGATGGGGAGGTAAGTCTGCAGGAGCTCGAATACCTGAGACCCTCTCGACGTCAAGCACTTGAGTCCCTTCAACCTGGGAAGTGAAATGCTGCTCTTATTCCCATGTGATGGGTGATAAGCCAAGGCTCAGAGAGTGTAGGCAAAGTGCCCTCCCAGGCCTCGGGCGTCAGGTTTCAAAGCCCTTGCTTCTCTTCACTTGCTCAAACTGCATCCATCCATTCATCCAGTGCCCACTGTCTGCCTTGTTGTCCCCCATGGTGCCCCCTGAGCTGGGGGCTAACCCTTCCTGGGCGCCCTCCCCCGCTTTCTGCTGTGGCCAGTGGAACAGCGTGCCGACTGATAGAATGCATGGGACTGAGTCTGCAGAGGAAGTGAGGCCCAGCCTTGCCAGGAGCTCATGGTGCGGCCTTGAAGAGTTACTTCCCATCCATGGGCCTCCATTGAGAGGGTCCACCAAACGTAGCTGGGATTGGTAAACCCTAAGGAGCTGGTGACCAGAGGGGAAGCTGGGGCTGTTAGGCAAGGGGGAGGCATTTAGGTGGTCCCCGGGCTTACCAACATGGGGCCTTGTTTTCTCCTCCACAACGTTCAAGGTACTACAAACACAGGGCAGGAACCAGGGTAAGATGGAGGGGGGTGGGCGTCCGGTTGTAGATCTGGCCCTGGCCCAGGCCCCTCTCTTGTCCCAGGTGCTGAGGACAAACCAGTTCTCCGTGACCAGACACGAGAAGGTCGCCAATGGGCTGCTAGGTGACCAGGGGCTTCCCGGAGTCTTCGTGCTCTACGAGCTCTCGCCCATGATGGTGAAGCTGACAGAGAAGCACAGGTGAGGGCGGGGAGAGGGAGGGCCCTGGGGCTGGTGGCACTAGGGATGCCTGCTGACCCCTCACCCTCCATCAGGTCCTTCACACACTTCCTCACGGGTGTGTGCGCTATCATCGGGGGCATGTTCACAGGTTAGTAGCTCCAGGGCGTCGGGTTGGGGCGTGGTGGGAGGGTAAAGCCGGGGTTCCCCCCGGGTTTTGGCTGGGGGCGGAGGGGCACCTCAAGGCCAAGGGGAGGTGCTGGTGTGGCCAGTCACGGCTCTGGATGTCAAGCCAAGGGCCCAACTGGGCCAGTGCCAGCCCTTGTCCCTCTCCCCAGTGGCTGGCCTCATCGATTCACTCATCTACCACTCAGCACGAGCCATCCAGAAGAAAATTGATCTAGGGAAGACAACGTAGTGGTCCCCTTCCCCCTTGTTGTCCCCTCTTTCTCCCATTTCTCTGCCCACCCCCCACCCTACCCCTGCAGAGTCTGTCAAAGCCCCAAGTTGATAAACCTATTGATTGTGATAGTACTCGCTGGTCCCCGTGTGGTTCTTGGGTCTGGCTGGAGCCTGGGGACAACCCCTCATCGTAGCCACTTACTGAAGGCAATCAGGACTGACAGGCCAGGTGCCCTCTAGGAGCCCCACATAGACATCCCCTGCTTACAGGGCTTTGCTCGAACCAGGCTGATGTGGACCCCACAGTCCTAACTTCAGTCCCTCCTCCTCTGTGGTCTTGGGGCCTTCCGGTTTCAGCCTCCGGGCTGAGATGGACCTTCGCAGGATGGATCTCCTAGAGCCACCATGTCACCCAGGTTCATGAGGCTCCGACCCCAGTGTTAGTGATAGAGCCCTGGGAGGCAGCTAGGGCTCACCACCTCTGCAGCGACTGCTGAAACGGGTGCCTGCCGCACTGGGTTCAGTCACCTGGATCTCTGACCCTGCTCTCTGCCAAACCCTTGCTGGCTCCTGGTGCCAAGAGGTGTCCAGCCAGGTCCTACGCAGTCTCCTAGGTGGAGGCAGAACTGAAGAACAGGTAGCAGTGGCCGTTCTGGAGCAGGCCTAGCATCAGACCCCAGCTCTGGACTTAGTGAGGGCTTCCCGTTGTAGAACCACTCCCTAGAGACAATAGCTGGTCACTTCCTTCAGTCGTTTCTCAGGGACCTTCAGTGTCAGACAGTAGTGGGGGAGAAGCGGAGAGGACAGAAAGCATAGGAGGGCAGTGATAGCAGAACCTCTGGAGGCAGATAGACCTGAGATCCAGCTCTGACATGATCACTTGCAATCTGTAAGATGCTGGACATGTCATCTGATCTGGGTACCGGTCTCATCTGTATAATGCGGGTGGTAGCTGTAGAGAGCCTTGTTTTTTGGCCATCCAGGAACCAGTCCCACTTGTTCACAGTATCCTGAACGTCCTCTGGGAACCTCCCTTCACCCTCTCAGTGTAGTGGTTTGGGAGGAGGGTCCACTCCAGCCCTGAGCCACAGGGCAGGGCCCTGTCAGCACATCCCACCCCACTGACTGCAGCGGCCCAGTGCGAGCCAGGCTCCGTCAGGACTAGGAGAGCTTCCTTCAGAGGTGACCTTGCCGCAGCCATCCTCCAATTCCCTGTCGGGGAATGAGCTGCCCCCAGAGGACAGCAGAGCTGAGCCCAGAGGTTTAGGCACAGCATTTGGACCCTGTGACAAGCTACACCTGAAGCCAGCCAGTGAAACCCTGGGAATTACAGTTATTCAAGCCAAAACATTCCCTTTGTGCTCAAGTCAGTTTGGGTTGGGCTGTCTACTACTTGGAGCCAACAATGTGCTTAGCTGGTATGGCTATTCTCAGGGCTGGTGAAGAATGAAGTTAATGAAGCCTGTAAAGTGCTTAGCTGTCATTGAATGGCAGAAGCCATAAGCAGATTAGGTGAGAGGGACCCAGACATTGGCAGGAGCAATAAGTGGGCTGCTCAGAGGTATGACACCTCTGGAACCAGGGCTCCTCCTGCCAGGCAGTGGGGCCTCATGGGCAGCCTTTCATCCTTGTGTATTCATTTGCCCAGTGAGTCCCCAGCATCTGAGGTCACCCAAGACCATCTCTGTTGTTTGCCCCCGTGTTCTCTGCACAGCACCTACTCAGGCATCAAGAGTGGATGCATGCAAAGGTTTATTCAAACAAAGCTGTGAACTCAAGTAGCTCACACTAATGGGAAGGACTTCTGGGAGCAGGAGTTGAGGGGTGGGTGCTCAGGGATGAGTGTCCATGGTCAGTTAGGGCCAGGGGGTTGGTGGAGGGGGCGGAAGATGACCTGGCTGATCTGGCCAGGCATGGTGTAGAAGACGAGGAGGAGGAAGATGATGATCAACGCCAGCAGCAGCAGCAGCACCAGGATGCGCCAGTACCGGCGCCAGATGAAGAAGACGAAGGTCTTCAGTGGGTTCACAAGCCAGTTAAAGGAGGTTTTGGGGCGACTGGAGGGGGTTGGGAAGGTGGTGTCAGAATGATGAGGAAGCCCTGGGCCTCCCGCACCGCCCCCTCTTCAAGCTCTGGCGCCCACTCACTTGGGCTTCTCCAAGGGCTCAGGCTCCTTCCGCCCCCTCCCCACTGGCCGTTTCTCAGCCTCCTCCACTGTCAACAGCTCAAACTCTGCCTCCACCTTCCCCTAGAAAACGGAGGAACAGAGGCTGAGCTCAGGTAGCTCAGACCTGACTGCCCAGTCCCTGGCCTGGCCACACCCACCGTAAGGATGTAGACGTTGCCTCCCGGGTCTGTGAACTCTAAGTCTTCCGGCCGGCCCTTCCTCCTCTTCCTCCGCCTCTTCTTGCCTGCCTCAGCCTCCCGCTGCTCCCTCTCCTCGTCCTCTGGCTCCCGCAGCTTCACCACAGGCCACCAGCCCCGCAAGCGGCGACAGCGAAACAGATTGCACCTGGGCCCAGCCCCATCACGGGCCAGTCGCACAGAGCAGAGCTCAGGGGCTCGGGTGCCCCGCACCATGTCCGGTAGCTGCAGCTCCAGGGATCCTGCAAGTCCAGAGCTCGGTTAGGCAGGCGATCACGGTCTGTCTGGGCCATGGGGGACAAGGCAGCACAGTGGGATTTAAGTCAGGACATCAGAAATTAGAAAGTGGTGGTCAGTATCCAGCTATGGACCACACACCACAGCCCCCAATGAAATAGGGTCAAGCCCTCTGCTAAAACAGGCACTGAAAGCCATGGCCTCAGAGTCCAGAGCAACCTGAGCTGGAGTCAAACCAGAGGACTGAGTCAGGGACTTCGGGTATAGACGGAGGACACGGTGCTCGTGGCTGAATAAATTCAGTAATTAGGCCAGAGAGCAAAGGTTAGTGACCTAGGGGCTGACATCCAGGATCCCGGGCTGTGTTAGGGTAGGGAACCAAGGACCAGGGAGGCAGGGCAACAAGGGCAGAAAACTGGGCTCGGCTGAGGTGGGAGGAAGACTTCAGTACCAAGGAAGTCGTTGGCAGAGACGCGGTCGTAGTCCCAGACCTGCAGGGCCAGCACTGCCGGCTGCCGGAACTCAGCCTCCTCCAGGGCGAAGGGTCCAGGCCGGCGCCGGATGCTCACCTCCCGCTCCGTGGGCAGGTAGTCAAAGCGGAACACGAAGCGCCAGTTGAAGTTTCCCTCCCCAGTCAGGGAGTTGAAGTGCACGTCTGTCTCCTGCTTGTCATGCTCCAGCCCCTTCACCCAGCTGGAGCCCAGGGGAACGGGGAAGGGACCGGCTGAGGGGGTATCAGCCCGGGCCAAACCCAGAACCCAGCTTCCCCCTTGGCTAGCCCATCCAGCCAGCTCCAGGCACTTTAGAGGGGCCTAGGGACAGGGCTCTGGCTCAGCCCGAGCGCCCAGGCCCCAGTGTGCAATCTCACCTGAGTACACAGCCATCTGTACAGTCCAGCGGGCAGGCCTACCTTTTCACATAGATGTCACTCGACATCTCTCCAGTGAGTGGGTTCACATCATCCAGAACCACATCCTCCGTGTTCCAGATGATGACTCTGAGCTCATAACTGGGAGGTGTATGAGGGGGGCAGGTTCAGATTCTTGAGGGGAATCCTGAGAAAGGTGGCAGGAAGCCAGAGGGACCTGGGCCAGGGCCACTGACATCCACTGAGTACCTGAGGTGTGCCTGGCTGGGTGATCAGGATGCCTGTGGTCTTTTGAGGGGCAAGCATCACCCCATCCGCTGTGGACCACTGTGGCCACAGCGATGGCACCGGGGACTGTCTGCTGACCCAACTGAGCCAGCAAGGTTCTCCCTCCCATAAATTTGGAATCAGGACCCTGAAAAGTTGAGCTGTGTAGCATCAGATGAGAGCTGGAGCCATGGTAAGCCAAAGTGGCGTGCAAGCTGAAGTTTTGAGGAGCAGAGTGAACAGAGAAAGTCAGCAGAGAAAAATGGGAGGCAGAGAGACACTGGCAATGACAGCATACAGCCCCTGAGGGACAAAAGGAGGGACTGCAACACTCCCTACCTCAAATAGTCCTGCCCTTGGCTGTCGTGGGGTTTTCTGGATATGTTTCTCTTGTCCAGTATCAGTTTCCCCCCTTTGTTGACAGCACCCAGATTTTCTGTTGGTGACCCCCACCCCTGCTACTGTCAATCTGTACGGTTCTAGCAGACCGACCCCCTGCCTGTCTCCAGAGGCAGGTACATCACCTAGGACATCACCCAGAACTGACCCCATGACCAGACCCAGCGGTTCAGGGACCAGCATTTGACCCAAGCCGGCCTAATGAGAGTCAGCCCTGAGACTTTTGCTTCAACTGGAAAAGAAGTGTGTATTTTTCTGCTCAAGTAATCTCTAGTTGGTCAGATGTGAACCTGACTCCATTAGAAGCCACCTTGCCCCTAGACTGTGAAAGTCTCCCCAAGAGTGACACCAAGGAAAGTGGAGCCCAGAGGTGGAAAGGGACCGATTGCTGACAACATCTGAAATGCATACACACCACGGAACTCTGCCCATTCTAGCTCAGGGCACAGGGGGCTTGTTGGTATTTGGAAGTAACAGACACGCAACCCACAATAGCTTATTTTAATAAGGGGACACTTAATGGCTCACCTAATTGAAAAGCCTGGGTCAGCAGCCTCTGCCTACTTCACTGGGGGCCCAGGCTGTGCTAGTCCAAGATGAGCCCACCCCATAGGAAGAGGGGCCAGGACTCTCTCTCACCTGATTGGTTGCCGAGGCTTGATGTCAACTGGGGGTGGTGCAGGCACATCCCTGGGGAAGATGTCAATCCACATGTGAAGGGATCCCTGGGGACACATGAGAAGTGGCAGCAGGCTGTAGGGTCTTGCTGGGGTCTCCACCTCCCCGAACAGCCCTGTGGCCAGAGACTGTGCCTTGCCCCAGGTGGAGAGAACTGGGATCAAGAGGGCGTGGTTGGGCAGACCATGGGTAATGAGGATGAACGTGGAGTCTGAAATGGAGGTTCTGGGGTTGAAGTTAGATTGGGGGTTCAGGGATGAGGCTCCAGGAGTGGAAGGTTGAGAGTGGAAAGTCAAGTCTGGTGTTCTCAAGATCCAGATCCTAGAGACCTGGGGTCAGGTTAGGAGTGCCCAGTGTGAGCCTTGGTGGCCCAGGGATGGGAATCCTCCAGGACCAGGGTCGGGGGAGGGGGTATGAGGTCCAGGATGGAGGTCCAAGACTAGAGTGTGGATGCCGGGGGCCAGGATTGGGAGCCAAAATCAGAAGCGGCAATGTAGTGCCCAGGTGGAGTCCTTGGGGAACAGGTATCCTGGGGCCCCCAGGTCCAGGACCAGCTTGGAATCCTGGGGCTCTGGGGTTGGGTGCTGAGCCCTCCCTCACCTGCAGCAGCCCCGGGCTGCGGGGATGGTAGAGGGGCCGCGTCTCTACATGCTCAGGTACCAGCTGAATCCCAAGACCTGGCATCTCCTGCCAGCACCGCAGCACAAGTAATGCCTGGGCCTCCTCAGAGACCTCACTTGCCACCTTGGGGCCCCTACTACCTGCAACAAGAAGTGTGTGCTCTTGGGTTCTGCACATCTCCTGACTCTCCTTCCTTCTCCCCCTCACCCTTCAATAGAAGCTCTAAGCTGAGGCAGCTGCTGTGCTGGACAAAGTCCATGCATTGGGAGGGCAAGTCCACAATGCCCAGAATGTGGGGGGCGGTGTGCTGCTATCACAACTCTTGCCAGTGAAAGCCAGCAGTCAGGGGGACAGTGGGATTGGAGGAGCTGTGGCCTTTGCACAGACACTGTTTAGACACAGCCATTGATGAGACCTGAGCTCAATTCTACAAGTATATTCTGTTGTATGGGACCCCCTTCGGGCCACCCTGTGTTCTGAGAACTTGATTAACTATGGCCCTGAGGAGTCCAGTTTGGTTCTTTGGGGGATCTCATGCTCACCAGCAAAGACCATTTTCTCCCCACCATCCAGGAACCTTGTTCTTACTCAGACAAACTCACCTCCTCTGTTTGCAGAAAAGCAGGCTGTTTGTGAAGCACACTAGACTGGGCACTAGGAGCCCTCTGTACCTTATTCTACCACCTTGCTCCCTATGGCCTGTCCAGCAGAAAGGGGCTGGTACCTGGGAGCAGGGTCTCAGGCGGTGTCAGAAAGACCTTGCTGCCCACCTTGACAGCCCCGGCTCGGTATTCAGGGGCGGGGAGGCCACAGCGTTGGCACAGCCCCGCCAGGATCTGTGAAGGCCGGAATGCATCACGCCAGGCATTGTACCCGTCCCTGCAGGCAGAAAAGGAATATGCCCCATTTGGGGCCAGTGATGGACACAGCTGGACACAGGGGCAGAGATGGGGACCCTTAAAGGCATGGGAGCCAGGTTCATAACCCTGACAGAAGGCAGCTCAGGCATCACTTATGGTAACCATGAAAATAAAAAAATGTATACCAGGTGCTCCTCGGAAGAAGATATTGATATTATTACCTCCATTTTGCAGATGAGGAAACTGAAGCTTAGAGAGAAAAAGTGACTCATCAGTTGCAGGATCCCAATTCCCAAGTCAGGTCTTGACCACTAAGCTATAATGTCTTGGTCACGGGGAAGTCCCCATCTATGAAATTGAAGGGTCTGCAGACACTAATGGAAACGTGACCTTGAATGTCTTTTGTAAGACTCGGAATGGCTCCTGAGGACCCTGTCAGACTTACACGTCATACTGGGAGGCCAGTCCACAGTTCGCCCTGTGGTGGCTATAAAATCGGTTTTCCAGGTCAATGTGGGTCTCCCCGATGAGGTCGTCAGAACCCACGAGGTCGTGATCAAACACAGCCACGGTCAGCTCTGGCTCAGCAGGCAGAGAGACGCTGAGCTCCAGGACCCTGAGCAGGAGGGAGAACGGCTGAGGTCGCCTCCATGTCCCAGGAGGTGGTCTTATGTGGGCAGGGGTTGCAGGGATCCCAGAAGCCTCTGTCCATTCCCCCACCATCAGCACATAAGCTGCCTGAGCAAGAGCCGGACCACAGGGCCATAGGGTAGAGTTGATTCCAAAACCCCGGGCCCAGCCTTACTCTCCAAAGATGGGGTTCAGCTGCTTGGGGATGTAGCGCTCCTTGGTGTCCTGCCGCTCCCGGCCAGCGCTCACCACCACATAGGGGTCTGCTTTGCCATTGGGGTCTGCAGGAGCCAGGTTGGTAGCCTAGGCGGACAGCATGGAGTGGAATTGAGAAGTGTCATTGTGATAACCCAAGGTTGCCCGTGCTGAACCTAATAGATTGAATGTAAGCAGGAAGTTACCAAGGGAAGATCTCCCATCAAAAGGAGTTAACTAGAGGTTCTACCAAATGACTTTTTATTCTCTTTGAAGTTAATTGTGAAATAGTTTAGACATATAAATCAGTATAACAAAAATATAATGAAACAAAGTATGTGGGAAAATGTATAAGGGCTTATTAATGTGTAACTTTCCATACTGTTTGACTTGTTTTTTACAATGAGCATAGTTTAACTTTAAAATGTTTTAACTACATGAAAGAATAATACAATGAGCATATGTGCCCAGCTTAATTAAAAAAAAACCCACCACTACCAACAAATGGGAGCCCCCTAAATTCCCTTACCTGACTGAATGCTCTTTCTATCACTGGCATAGCCAGGAGCCTTTACTGGGGGTTTATCACACACAAAAAAAGTAAAAATATACATGAGTCTCTAAGCAATAGGTAGCACCATATTGTATGTTTTTAAACTGTATGTATTCAACTTACTTTTACTGTTTTGATAACTACATAATTTAGTAAATGCATAACATGCATAAATTATTGAGGTATAATTTATGCACAGCAATATATTTTTAGTCATTTTTACGCTCTTACTTGCAATGTATGGGAGTTCCAGGTACTCCACATTTTTACCAACACTTGATATTGTCGATCTTTGTTATTTTAGTCATTGTAGTGTATGTGAAATTGTAACTCATTGTGGTTTTAATTTTCATATCCCTGCTGAAAAAGCATGTTGAACATCTTTGCGTGTGCTTATTGGCCTTATGTAGATTTTCTTTTGTGAAGTAACAGTTCACATCTCTTGCTCTTTTTAAATTTTCATTTTAAATATTACTCTTTTAATTTCTAAAAATTCTATCTGGTCCTTCAAATTTGCTGTTTATTTTTAATAGTCTCTTGTTCCTTGCTCATTTTCAATTCATTCCTTTATTTCTTTACACATTTCATATATAGTTATTTGATGTTCTCTGTCTAGTTACTCCAATATCGAGGACCCTGGGGATCTGAATCTATTGTTATTTTTGCTATTCTTATTCAGGATGGCTTGTTTCTTTGTCATCTGGTACTTTTGAACAGGACTCATGCTTGGTTGAACTCATCTTGAAATGCAGGTGTGGTCTGCCAGAGAGGGCTTGCTTTCACCTTTGCCAGTTTCCTGAACAAATTACTAACTTGCACCACATTAAATTAAATCCTCCAGCTGAGGTTTGGGGATTACTCCGATGGCAGGAACTCAGGCTCAGAGCTGCATTAGAGCCGGTCGTGGACACGAACGCTTATTGGAGGCTTTTCCCCCTCTAACCAGTGCCAAAGTTAAAACAAGCAAGTTTCCTTCATGTCCCCTTCTGCCTTGCGGGTTTATGTTTTTGTTTATCCTCATGCTGAGTGTATAGATTTGGGGGCTTTACATCATATAGGGCCTTTCACTCACACTGCTCTCCCGCGGTAACCCCCAGCTTTACCCTCTGTCCTCCCTCCCTGTCAGCCTTCTATAAGGAAGCTGAAGCCCCCAGCGTCAACAGTAAGTTACTGTTTGTTGAGTGAAAGCCAGCATGAGCACTCATCTCCCTAGGTTCCTGTATTAACTATATATTTTTTTCTTTTTCTTTTCTATGTTTCCTTATTTTACGTATTCTTGATGTTTAGTGTCTGAGGCCTTCTGATCCTGGAGAGGCTGCCCTTCCCAGGGCTAATTCCCAGAGTTAATGAACAAGGCACCTGTTAGAGCACCTTTTATATGCAAATTAACCACATTTTATATGCAAACTAACCAATCCAGAACCCATAATCCAACCCACCTCCTTCATCTAGCTCTTATACTTCAGGAAGTAATGATATTCCTCTGCTCTCATCATCTCTAAAACCAGGTACCAGACAGCCAGAGACAGCCCTTCTCCCCCGGAACTGGCAGGGACTATTCAAACTAGCCAGTCCTAAACCTGCTTACCCTGCCTTGCCTTGCCTTTCCTGCGGAAACCACAATAAAGACTCTGGCCCTGGCATTCCCCTCTGCACTGACCCTGCGTGATGAAGCAAACCCCCTCCTCCTGGGAACTGAGACAGACTCTCTTCTCAGTGGCGAACCATCTCCTGACCCATCAGCCTCATCATACATGGACAAAAGCAAAATCTTGAGTAGATTTTAAAATAGATCCTGCTTTTACTTTGATCTTTATTTTTTTCCATCTAAAATCCCCTACTTAGAAGCACAGCGCTGCATTTTTTAAAATGCTTTTAAAATTCCATCCAGCCTTTTTAGCTTTCAGTGAGCAATGCAGGCTTTAACCCTCAGGATGTGCCCTTCTCCTTTGAGAACAGACTCTGCCGCCCCTGAGTGATGCTCTCTCCCCACTCTGCTGCACACATGACTTCATCTACGCAGCTCTTGGGCACTCTTCCAGCCTTCCTGGTGGTTTGCTGCTTTGTTTTCTTTTTGAAGATTTTATTTACTTGTTTTTGGTTTTTTTTTTAGACAGAGGGGAAGGGAGGGAGAAAGAGAGAAACATCAATGTGTGGTTGCCTCTCATGCGCCCGCTACTGGGGACCTGGCCCACAACCCAGGTATGTGCCCTGACTGGGAATCAACCCTTGGATTCGCAGGATGGTATTCAATCCACTGGGCCACACCAGCCAGGGGTTTGCAGTTTTAATGAGCATCCTGATTTCACCATCATTAAAAGCTGGGTTCTTTTGTTTTTCTCTTTGTTTTGGGCCTTCGGGAAGACAAAGGGGAAACGCCCCTCTGGTGCCATGTTCCACAAACTGGGAATTATCCCACTTGCTTACTTCATTCACATTTATACTGGAAGATTTATCCTTGTAGATACATGTTGCTGTAGTTAGTTCAATTTAACTATAGTATTTGAAAGTACAAAAAAGCCCCTTCAAGCCCTCTTTACCAGAGCTGGGTATCTCTCTTTCCTTGAGCCTGTCAGGCATAATTAACTGTTGTTTCTCTGAGCCTCTATTCTCAGGACTGGAGAATCACTAAAGGTGTCCCCCGTGCAAGTGTTTTAGGAACTTATACAAACAGGACATATCAGACTGGAGCACCTGGACCCTGAACCCAAAGATAACATCAAAACAAACTGAAGCCTGTACTATCAACCAGAGACATCCTGATTTACAGCTAATTGCCATGATTGCCCAGCTGCACTCTCCTTTCCCTTGATCACCCAGTAAACACTCACAGCCTTACATTTCATTGCTGGTTTATGTCTTCATGCCCAGCCCCTTTCCTCTCTTGGAAAGTGAATAAAAATTTTCTGTCTGCATTTTCTTCCCTTTGTGAATTCTTTCACAGCCTGTGGCACTGGCTACCCTAACTGTAGTTGTTATTTGACTAACATTCTCCTCTTCTCCTCTCTTCTCCCCTCCCCCACTTCCCCTCTCTTCTCTCTCTCTCATTATGTATATTTTCTTACTTAGCAACACTTAAGTTATTTCTAAATTATTATTACTACAAATAATGCTAGAATGAGCAATTCTTATCTGTTTTCTTGTACACATATGTAAGAAATTCTCTAAGATTATATCTAGAACTATAATTACTGAGCATTAGCTATGAACATCTATTTTAGCAATAGAAGCAATATTGACAAATTATTCTCCAAAGTTGTTATATCAGTTCACATCCTGTGGCAGGAAAAATAATGCCACTTCCAAAACATCCACCTATGAATGTGTTAACTAACATGGCAAAATAGACTTTGCAGATGTGATTAAATTAATGATCAAAAAATGGAGAGATTATCCTAGAGTGTCCAGGTGAGCCTAATGTAATCACAAATGTTCTTATAAGTGAAAGAGGGAGACAGGAGGGTCAGAGGAGAGATTCGAAAATGCTCTGCCTCTGGCTTTAAAGATAAAAAAGCCATGAGGCAAGATACACAGGTGGCCTCTAGAAGGTCAAAAAGACACGGAAACAATTCTCCTCAACAGCCTCTAGAAGGAGTGCAACCCTACCAACACCTTCATTTTACCCCAGTAAGATCTGTTTCAGACTTTTGCCCTTCAGAACTGTAATAAATAAATTTGTGTCATTTAAGTCATCAAGCTTGTAATCATTTGTCACAGAAGCAATAGGAAACTAACATGCATTTCCACAAGCACCAGGGCAGAGTCGCACAGCTTCTCCAGCCCACATTGGTTAGCACTTCTAATCTTGCCATTTGAAGGTGGGGAAATTCGTTTCTCATGGTTTCAATGATTTGTATGTCCTGATTACTATTAAGATTTAGAAGTTTTCATATATTTATTGGCCATTGGAGTTTCTTCTTTGGTCAGTTTTCCTATTTTTTTTCTCAATTTTTCTTTTCTTTTTTGTGTGTGTCTTATAGGTTTGCGAGAGTTACTTGAACACTAACCCTTTATTGATTATGCACTAAGTAAGCCCCTTACCCATCTGCGGCCAGTCCTATCATTTACTTTAAGTATTTATAGATGCCCACCAGTTTAGTCTGAATGTAGTCATGTCATTTGTTTCCTAATGTGTAGTTTGTACCCTTACATATTAAGAAAACTGCCACCCACCCAAGATCACAAAGATATTTTAATATTTCCTTACAAGTTTGCTTTTCATAATCAAATATTGGGTTTAGCTGGATTTTTTGTGGATGCACTAAGTTAGAAGTCTAATTTTCTTTTTCCACATGGATAATTGATTTTTACGGGGCCACTTATAGAATAGTCCCATCCCACCCCACCTACTTCATCAACAGTGCCAGTTCTGGCAAACTTTTCCATCTATGTCTGTGTCTGTTTAGTTAAATCTGATCCTGTCCCATTAGCCTAGTAATCTATTCCCATACCAGAACCACAATGTCTTAACTGCTATAACTTTATAATCAGTCTTGTCTCCCCATATTGTTCTTTGAAATTGTCTTGGCTATACTTGGCACTTCATTCTTGCATAGAACTGTTAGAATTATTATACATAGCTTGTTAATTCCAGGGTAGCCGCTCTTACCCTCATGCCGGGCTTATGGTAGACATTGTGCTATTTGAATGCTGCTCTTATCTCATTTTTTTCCTACCTCTTTACCATTCACCCTTTTTAGAGAACCAATCTCTTTAGTTTTTAGATTATTTTTCCTGTATTTCTGGTGTACAAAGAAGCAAATATGTAATTTCTTGTATCTCCTTTCTTTCATAGAGAGTAGCATAATATAGGTACTCTTTTGCACTTTGCTGTTTTCACTTTATACTATGTCTTAGAAATCACTCCATATCAGTTCATAGAGATCTTCCTCATTCTTTTTTATAGCTGCATAGTGCTCCATTGTGTGGACATACCATTCTGCTATACATGGGCATTTAATAAGATTTTCTTTTTAATAGTCTTCCATTTTTAGAAATTTTATTTGATTATTTTCAAGGATTCCAAGTCACTTATGATAGCCTCTTGTTCTCTGCAAAATATTTTAAAGTTATTTTACATTTCTAATATTTGAAAATTCTAACATCAAAGCCTTTAGAGGTTTATTTCTTTTTTTCCTGAAAACTTTTCCTGATAGATTGTTTTCTTATTGATTGTATTTTACAATTCAGGAGTTTGTAAATTTGGTTATCTAAATCTATGGAACGTGTGAGGTCTGATTTGGGATCATTTTAAGCCAATCTCTCAACTTTTGAGTTTTCTGGACTAAATAGATAATATCAATTCAAGTCTTAAATCAATGTGAGGACAAAACTCTAGTAATAAATTCTCAGGGAAGACATTTTTCTCTATTTCCCTCAGTGGGAACAGAGTCTGAGGCAGACCTCACAGGTTCTTCTCCCAGAGAGTGGGCTTCCTAGTGGCCACTGTCTCTGAAAGCAGAGTCCTTCTGGGTACTGCTTCTGGCGAGGGTCTTGTTTGTGGCTTCCCCCTTGGGTAGGCTACGAGAACCCAAGGCCTGGGGTCCAGGTGTGGACAAAACCTCTTAGACAACCTGAGCTTCAAGGCTTGTCTTGGGATTCCTGTTGCCTCTTCATCTAGGGCCCACTGAGAATTCCCTGTATTATGAGCTTAGCATTTACTTAAAAGGTTGTTGATCTAGCATTTCTAGATATATTATATTAGGAAGTTATTTCAGACCATCTAGTCTGCAGGAAGCAGAAGGTCAAGATGACTCCTAGTATGTCTTTATGCAGTAAGATTCTTAGATTTTGGTAGAAGCGTGACACAGGACATTTTTTTAAAATTCCGTCTTAGTCACAATCCCTATATTTAAACCAGATAAAAGTACACCGTCTGTTCTGGTGCTGGCAGTGACGGGCAAAACAAACCCCCTCCTTCCTCTCACTCTCTGAGGTGCTGTTAAGGGAACTCCAGGGCCCCGCTGAGTGCCACATGGGAACTGCAACAATGGAACGCCCTCTACAAAGGTATGTGCCCACAAGCCATCATGAAGCTTGGGATTCAGGGCTGTGCTCTTCCTGGAATTATACACCCCATTCCGTGGGACTGGAACTACGAACAAGGAGTCAGAAGACCCTAGCTCTAAATTCTGGTGCTGCCATGAGCAAGCTTTGTGACCCTGGGGAGGCTCTTAACTTTGTGCCTAAGATTCCCACCCTCAAAATGAAGAAGGTGGACTCTGAGTCCTGAGGTTCCCCCCGAATCCTTCAGTATATAAGCTTCACCTATGTTACCTTCCCTTGGAGGTGTACTGGGCTGATGGATACTCACCTTTACGACATACACTCTGACCAAGAGCTTGATGGGCCGGTTTTGTGGGATCCCCCGGGAGATCTGGGGCTCTGAGAATGACACTGCCTCTGACTCAGGGTAAATGAGGAAGGAGCCCTGGAGCAGGAGGAGGACAGACAGCCCCGGTAAGAGAGTCTTCCTCCCACATCCCCACCTGAGCTCCTGGTCCCCACTTTGTTCCTTCTTTAGCCACACCTTAAACTTGCCCACCAGGTGCCCAGACCCTTCTTCCTCTCCTTCTCCATCCTGACCCCCTTGCCCTCGATACAGGGGAAACACATTCAGCCAGTCTTCAAAGTGGTTAAACTCTTCCTCCAGGGAGCTGTTGTAGATCTGAAAGGCAAGGGCCTCGGTGGCAGCCCAGTGTCCAGAATCCAAGCAGAATCCCAGCAGAATCCCTTCTCGCCAAAGCCCAGTCACCTTCAGAGTGGCGATCGCTTTCTTCAGGGACATGGAGCCGCTGACTTCAGCCTCGCCCTGGTCTTGGGCTTCCCCATCCACGGAAGTGAGGTTGCCGCCATCTGGGAACAGCAGGGTGCCCCAGTTAGAAACACTGATGTCGGGGGAGGAGAGGAGACAGAGAGCAAGAGCAAGAAATCCAAATTTCTTACCTAAATCCCCAGGATCATCCATTTCATCCTCATCAAAGCTGGGCTGAAATCAAAGGTCAGGTCAGAGATTCTCCCCCAACCCTCACCTTCTTAATCTACTCGTTTTCTGAGATGAGCAGTTGGGGAAGTTCAAGTTCCCGCTGAGTAAGCTGCTTGCATTTTAAAGGTTTTAGTGTAGCCTCTAGTCCTGTGCCAGGGAAGACAGGAACCCCAGCTCTGTGTGTCTGCTGAGCACTTGAAATGTGGCTGGTCCAAACTGAGATGTGCCGTGGATGTAAAATACAGATTTTAAAGACTTTGTATAGAAGAATAATGTAAAATATCTCATTATTGATTTTTTATGATAGTTACTTGTTAAAATGATTTTTACATGTATTAGGTTAAATAAAATATGTTATTAAAATTAATTTCACCTGCTTCCTTTTTTATTTTTTAAGGTAGTTTCTACAAAAGTAAAATTATATGTGAGGCTCGCATGATATTTCTTTTGGACAACACAGCTCTGGATGAAGGAGTTAGTAATCCCAGGATTCTAGAACTGAAGATGAGAAAAGATGACTGTAATGAAGAGGTGTGAGCTCCACATTCGGAGAGACGCTTCCTCTTGCCATTTACCCTCCTCTGCCGCCAGCCCCCGCCCTGGGACCCTCTCTGCCGCCACCTGCCCCTGGAGCTCCTGCTGCGATGCGTAGTACTTGGACCACCAGTCAAGCTCTTCAGGATCTGGGATGTCCTCCTCCAGCTCGGGGCCTTGATTCAGAAGGCCTCTCAGGGGGAGCTTCTTCAGAGGAGCCTGAGGAAGAGAGAACTCAGCACGCCTGACCCAGTGCCATCCCTAGCCCTGCCAACCCCTCCCCTGCACATCTCCCATTCCCCGTCACCTTCAGGAGCCGCCCGGACATCCCTGCTTCAACCAGCGAGGGATCCAGGGACTTCTGTCCTGGGAGAATGGAAAGGAGACCAGGAGGGCTGGTCAGAGGGTCTCCTGGAACCCTCTCAGCCTGGAGGCAGAGGGGCTTCGGTCTGGTGGCCCCCAGGAGAAAGGCCCTTACCTTCAGGTTCCTTGGGCATCAAGTCCCCTGTCTCCTCTTCTCCTTCCTCCTCAGGGGGATCCTCTTGACCCCGGAGTGTAAATCGCATCATGTGGGGGACAATGTGGGAACCCACGAGGACTGTACGGCCAAAAGCCCGGCGTTCAATTACTAGGATGCTGAGGGGGGGCTGCAGGTAAGGCTGCTCTGGCAAGTCCTAGAGGTGGAGAGAGAGGACCTGTGTCTCTGAAGACTTTGGGAGGCGGGAGAGGCAGTGGCAGAGACAGGCGCAAAACCACACTGCATTCTTAGCCCAGCTCTGTCCCAGCTCATTGGATTATCTGGTAAATCATTGCCTTTTAAGCCCAATTCCCAGTTTAAAAAAAAGACACAATCCTGGATTTGAAAGACTGTTGTATAAATGACACAATGGATACAAAAGTATTTTGGATGGTACAAAATGCTCTCAAAAACTATGGGGTGCTTGTTATTGTTATTATGTAAAGAGCTAATGCTCAATTTGCTAATATAAATTTAGAACTCTAAAAATATGTATTCCTTTTAACCCACAAATTCCATATCAATCAAGGGATCCTAAGGGAGGGAAACAATAATTACAATACTATATTGCTGGGCTTATTTTACATACTTGTGACAATTATGCATGAAGGAGGGGGGAAGGAGTGGAGCCATAATAGAGAAAAGTTTCTATATTTTACCATACCTAAATTAATATTAATCTTAAGTATATTGTAAAAAGTCAGTATGCATAGTGTAATCCCCAGAGAAACAACTAAGTAAAAATCAACAAAGGAGTTAAAGTAGTATATTAATAACTATATATTTAACACAAAAGAAGGACCCTAGCTGGTGTGGCTCAGTGGATTGAGTACCGGCCTGCAAACCAAAGGGTCACCAGTTCGATTCCCAGTCAGGGAACATGCCTGGGTTGTGGGCTGGGTCCCCAGTGGAGGGTACGTGGGAGGCTACCACACATCGGTGTTTCTCTCCCTCTCTTCTTTCCTTCCTCTCTCTTTAAAAATAAATAAATAAAAATCTAAAAAAAAAGAAGGTAGTAAAGGAGGAACAAAAGTATGAGACAAATAGAAAACAAATTGCAAAAAAAATTGCAAAATGACAGATGTAAGCCCAACCATATAAAAAATAACATCAAATGTAACTGTATTAAATACTTTGATCAAAGGGTAGAGATTGTCAACTGGATTTAAAAAAAAAAGAAGAAGAAGAAGAAGACGCAATTAGCTCTGGCTGCTGTGGCTCAGTGGACTGAGTGCCGGCCTGTGAACCAAAGGGTCGCCAGTTTGATTCAAAGTCAGGGCACATGCCTGGGTTGCGGACCAGGTCCCCAGTAGGGGTGTGTGAGAGGGAACCACACACTGCTGTTTCTCTCCCTCTTTCTCTCTCCCGTCCCCTCTGTCTAAAAATAAATAAATTTAAAAAATAAAACAAAATAAATTTATATTTAAAAAAATATGCAATTATATCCTGTCCAAGAGACATTCTTCAGACAGACACATGTAGATTGAAAGTAAAAAAATGGGGAAAGATATGGCATGCAAACGGTAACCACGGGAAACAAAATTTGCTATACTATCAGAAAAAATAGATATTAAGGCAAAAATATTTTACTGGAGAAAAAGAGGAACATTATAATGATAAACAGGTTAATTCATCAGGAAGCTAACAATTATAAACATATATGCACCTAACAACAGAACCTCAAAATACAAGAAGGTAAAAGTGACAAAAAGAAAGAAAGAAACAGATAATTTGACAATAATAGTTAGAGACTTCGGTGCCATTCTCAATAATGGGTAGAACAACTAGACAGAAAATCAGTAGGAAGGCTTATTTAACTCTAGCAATCAACTTGACCTCATTGACCTCTGCAGAACACTCCAATCAACAACAAAAGAAAACATTTCTTTTTTTAAGTATACAATGGAGAAAGGAGTGTGCTATGAAATGGGAAATGTGAGGAAATGGCCCCTGGAATGTCAATGAGCAAAGTGCTTTCTGTTTCATCATCTTATCTCACAATAAAGTTTTCAAATTGAAAACTCCTGCATGTGGAACAGGATCAGGAAACAGTGTTGGATGTTTTGTTGTTGTTGTTGTTTGCCTCCTTGCAGTCTGGTACCACTGTGCTTTGTCCATCCTGGTCACCCCCCCGACACAAGCACCGCACTTTTCAGTTTACAAAGCCCTTTCACCAAGATCCTGCCTCTCATTGGCTCCTCATTGCACTCTTTCCAAGAAGATTTGGTGTTTTCTTCAATCTTTTTTCTTTTGTACTTGTTACGCCCTTTTACAAATAAACAAAACACTCAAAGCTCAAATAAAACGAGTGATTTAACAAGCTCCTAAGTGACATTGCCAGAACTGGACTCCAAATTCCATACTACAATAGTTATAAATTACACAAAGAATGTAGTTTTCTTCTTAGCCCCTGGTGTCTCAGAGGCTACATAGATTCCTTCAGACTCATACTTCGTAACACTTGGCTAATCTACTCATTCAATAGAGCCAAGAGAATACCACCAGTTCAGGGATTTATCTAGGGATCAGCAAACTATAGCCTGCAAGCCAAATCTGGCCCAGTTTTTGTAAATAAAGTTTTACTGGAACACAGTCATATTCATTCATTTACTTGTTGTCTATGAATGTTTGCATGATACAATGACAGAGTTGAGTAATTGCAAACTTTAAAACTATGTGGCTTGCCCTGGCTAGTGTGGTTCAGTGGACTGAGTGCCGGCCTGCAAACCAAAAGGTTGCTGGTTTGATTCCCAGTCAGGACACATGCCTGGGTTTCAGGTCAAGTCCCCAGTTCGGGGTGGGTAAGAGGCAACCAATCGGTATTTCTCTCGCACATCGATGTTTCTCTCTCACGCTTTCTCCCTTCCTTCCCCTCTCTCTAAAAATAAGTAAATAAAAATCCTTTTTAAAAAATAAAAAATAATAAAATACTGTGGCTCACAGAGCCTAAAATATTCACTACCTGATTGACCCTTCATAGACAGTTTGGTGACCCCCTGATTAGTCTAAGATAACCGGCCCGGAATTCACCATCCCGCTGTCCTCTCTCACTTCCCAGCCCAGCACTCTCGCCGCCCTCTCATGCCCTCACCACTGTCAGATGCCTGACGAGCTCAGTGAAATTGGGGCTCTCACGGTAACTGGCCAGGACCTCAGACTCCACACGTCGCCCAGCCACCTCCAGCACAACCTGGGGCTGCTCCACCTCAAACAGATGCACACGGCCGAGGCCCCTGAGACCCCAGAACAGCACCTAGGGTGGGGAAGTAGGAGATTCAGGCACCTGCACCTGGCAGAGGGGTACCCTGGTGTGGGGGAAGGCGGGAGATGTGAGTGCCTGGGGCTACCTCAACATGGAACTCCCTGAGCACCGGGCGCACATTGGGTGGCAGGAATAGGCGTTTGGAGAGAGGCTCAACCAGGGGTGTCAGGTCCTGGGGCTCCACATCCCTGGGCACTGAGGGCTGCAGAGGGCAAGAGGTCAAAAGTCAAAGAGGAATCAGGTCAAAGGAGGGAAATCCTGGGCTCTGAAAAGAAAAATGAAGAGTTGCTGGTGAAATATAAACCCAGAGGGCCTGCCTGAGCAAGGCTGGATTGGCAGGAAGGGGGTGTCTAGGAAACAGCCACCTACAGGAATGATGGGTGGGTGTCTGAGGCATCAGGATCAATCCACAGCCTGGGTCCTCTGGGACTGGAGGCCTGGCGAGGTGAACCTAGGGTATGTCTACTTCTCCTGTTCCCTGGAATCAGGAGGTCCAGTGAGGTGACCCCGGGACATATCTGCAGCCTACATTCTCTTGGGGCACGAGACTCGGGGTAACCTTGGTACATGACCATGTTCTGTACTCCCTGGGGCTGGACCACCTGATGAATAGCAAGAGGAATCCACAGCTCATGCCAGCTAGGCCACAGCACTCTGACCTCAAGCCGGCCACTGTAGTCCAGTTCAATGAGTTCGAAGGTGGCGATGAGCTCTCCAGCTGCCCGGGACCCCTTCCTCAGTGGGAAGAACTGTAGCTCAGGGTGTTGATAAGGGTCCTCCATCAGCTTTACCCTCGGGGCAGCCAGCGCCCTGCCCAGGAACACAGGGGGGCCCTGCAGGGGGCAGGCCAGGGAGGACAAAAGTGATAGACGCTCAGGAGCTACAGGAGAGGCATCAAAACAAAGGAGTGGGGGTGCTCAGGGGCAGGAACCCCAGGGGTGCCCAGGCCACACTTACAAACTTATTGTGGTCAAAGACATTGATGATCACTAATGGAGGCTCCTGCTGCAGGTGCTCCCTCCTCCCGTCCACGATCAGCTGATCGAACACCAGGAGCTCGTCCCACAGGGGGCTCAGCGTCTGCTCCAGGACCTTGGGGGCCATGCAGGGAAGGAGGCGATGGTAGGAGTCAGAAGAAGTCCCCCAACCCACATCCCAGGTGAGCATGGCTGCCCCAAAGTAATACTTTAAGTAACTTTATCACAAAAGGACTAAAGAATGTGAGGAAGATGACGGCAACCTTCAGACTGGTGTTGAGCCTGCCCTTCCAGCCCTCGCCTCTCCTCACTATCTGCCACCCTCGGAGCTTGTCTTAAAGTCAGCAGCAGAAAACAACTCCTTTCCCCTAGGACCCTCTAGTTCTACACCACCCTCTAAATCAGAGCAGCCTGATCCAATATTCTGTCTTCGAAACCCAGGATGGGAAGAGAGATTTAGGGCCCAGGGAAAAATGCTCAGCACCCACCAGACCTTGTCACCCAAAGCCCCTCCACCCGCACCCTCAGCCCAGCCCTCACCCGTGTGGTCTGGCATTGGGTAGAAATGAGGACTCGAGCAAAGGGGTCCGAGAGCCCACTGTCATCTGCTGCCAGCACGCCTCGGGCCTGGTACAAGTGAGCCCTGAGCTGGAAGTAGCTGAAGTCTGGGGTGGGGGGAAGGAAAGGGTTATGTTTGCTCAAGGGACCACGAGGGTCCCCGACCCAGGCCCCACCAAACCCCGGTGAGCATCTAGCCGCACATCTGGGGCCCACTGGTCACCCCCAGCGCTCACCATCCCGGTGCAGGCTGTGGGGCAGCCCGGTGGGAGGCTCAGGCAGCAGCTCCTGGGGAAGCTCTGAGGTGCAGGCCTTGGCCTGCTTGCCCAGCCCCAGCCACAGGAAGAGCTCCAGCTTGGCACAGACCTCACCGGGAGCTGCCCCAGGTGCCTGTTGTGGAGAAGAGGCATGTTAGGGCCCAGTTCTTATATCCCAGAGAGATCAACAGCCCTGCTCCCCCGGGGAGTACCCCTAGTCTCTGTACTACCAAGCTACACCCCAGCTCCCTCATCCAAAAAGCATTCCCTGTGCCTCACCCTTGGACCCCGCTTTATGCGCGCTACCCGATACCCCATCAACCTGACACTCCCTCTTCCCCCAGCCCAGCACTGCCCCCCGCCCCGTACCCGACCCCCACACCACAAAACTACACTCTGAGCTCTGCACTCCCATACCCCACGCTCACCCTCTCTGTCCTCTCATCCCCAACACATTTAGATTCCCTGTCCCTTATCCCCACGCTCACAGCTTCTCACCACTAGAGATCCTTGTGCTTATCTCTCCCAGTGACACCTCCTCTAGAAATATTTTTGCCTCAAACCAGCTATACTTATAAGGAACTAATTAATCACTCTCCTGTCATTTTCATTACCTTGTCCACCAGTCAGAGCCTCGTCAGCCAAAGGGCCAAGTGCAGGCTCAGAGCTGACAAAGTTTAGTATTTACCTCACATCAAAGCTGGCCTGGGTAAAGGCACGATGTCATTTTGGCTTTTGGATAATTGAAAAGAGTTTGGGTATACTTTTAAAATAATTAAAACTTGTAAAAAATTAAAATGTTTTAAATTTTTAAAAAAGATTTTTATTTATTTTCAGACAGGGGAGGGGAGGGGAAAAAAGAGAGGGAGAGAAACATCAATGAGTGGTTGCGTCTCAAGTGCCCCCTACTGGGGACCTGGCCCGCAACCCAGGCATGTGCCCTGACTGGGAATCGAACTAGCGATCCTTTGGTTCGCAGGCCGGCGCTCAATCCACTGAGCCACAGCAGCCAGGGCAAAATGTTTTAATTGTTTTAAAAATTAAAATAAATACGAGCCTCCCCCCACTCCAGACCCCAGCACCCTCACCCCCACTCACTGTAAGCAGCAAACTCTGGATCTTCCCACAGTGCTGGCCTTGTTCTTCCTCAACCACAGAGAAAAGCACATCCTGGGCTGGGATCCGGGCCCAGGCCACCCGGCGCCGCCCACTGAGCATCCAGACCAGCACGTCTGGGAGGGGTGGCTGGGGCTGCAGGCAGAGAACTGGGTCACCGAGGTGGATTCAGAGCTGAGACCACCTGTTCCCAGAGCTTCCAGCAGACAACACACCAAATATCCACCTCCAGCTGAAATTACCCATCTTTTAACTCTATGTACTTTTCCCATTAGATCTTTGTGGCTTGGAGATAAGCAAAGTGTTTTCATGCAGGCAGCAGAAAGCCAAAAGCATAAAAGTTATAGGTTATACTTGATCAAAACTTTCTGGAAATATATATTACTTTCGCCTCTACTGTTTTTCATATGAAAATTCAGGCATATAAAAAAAATTTACAAAACATAGGAAAAGAAAAAAACCTGACCCATGGCGAAGAGAGGAAATAATCATTAGAAATAGACTACACAGGTAACCCAAATATTGGAGTTATTAGACAGGGACATTAAAAGAACTATGGTAAAAATTCTAAAGGATTTAGTGGGAAAAGTACACAGAGTTAAAAGATGGATAATTTCAGCAAACATATGAAAACTGGAGCCGAACAGATATCTGGAAAGCTTAGGGGAAAGAGTATTTACAGTAGAGAAATTGGTGGGTGAGGCATTACCTCTTGGGCCAGGAAGCGCAATTTTGCCAGGAGCTTCTTGGCCAGTGCCACCTTCTCTTGCACGTTGCCCTGTCTCAGGCCCCATAGAAGGCGAAGGCCTTGCTTTGCCAACAGGTTCTGGAAGGGCAAGAAAAGAATGTGAGTGGAGGACCCCTGCTGGGTCCCCAAGAACCCCCTTCCCAGAGGCCCCGCCCATACCAGGCTATGCACCAGCAGTTTCCCTCGGCACCTATCCAGGGCGTTGGGCCGCGTCATTGTCCTGCGCTCAGCACTGTGGCAAAATTGTCTGCAATGAGTAGGAGGGGACGAAGCAGGTGGGAGTCAAAGGAAGGAACACTGACCCTTAAGGCCACTTCCCCCAGGGCCGGCGTTCCACACAGCCTCTCTCCGTCTTATTCTCGTAGAAGGGCTCTTCCTCAGCCAAGGAGGGCTTCTGTATTTGGACCACTCCCAAATTCTTTGCGGTCTGCCTCACCTCCGAGCCCCAGAACTCATTAGTATTTAACTATCTACTACCCTGGCTACTAAAAGTGTGGCCCTGGACCAACCGCAAGGTATTACTTAGTTAGAAATGCAGAACGCCAGCCTACTGCACACCTGCTACCATAATCCACATGTTTACACCCTGGGAGATCACGTGCACATTAAAGGCTCAGATGGGCTGTGTGTGACATTTCCAACAAATTGACCAAAGCTAGCTCAACCATTACTGGCCCAAATCAAGCTCATGATTTCCAATGACTACGCCCCCCATTAAAAAATTCTGCTTTACTCCAAAACTTTAGAGTCCTTCTTCACTGCTCCTTCTTTCTCTCACACTCCACATCAGTCCATCAGCCTGCAATTTAGGCTCTACCTTCAAAATATATCTGGAATCTGACCACTTTTCTCCTTTTCCAGGACCACTGTACTCCAAGCCACCATCCTTTCTCACCTAGGATTATTGCAGCAAACTCCTAGCTCTCGCCACTGCCACTCTTGCCCACTCTCCTGCAGAATATTCTCAATACAGCAACCACAGTGATCTTTCCAATGCTTTCCAAACCATTTCACTCCTCTCCAGAAGTTCTCATCGCAGAAAAAAAAACCCCCCCAAAAAAAACAAGTTTTTTAAATGGCCTAAAAGGCTCTACATGATCTGACTTACTTTATCTCCCTGCCCTCATCAAACATTACTCTCCTCTCGTGCACAGCCCTACTGGCCTTTTTGCTCCTCTGTGAATACACCAAGCCCATTACCATTTTAGGGGCTTTTTTAAAAAATAACTTTATTTTTAGAGAGGGGAAGGAGGGAGGAAGAGAGGGAGAGAAACATCAGTTGGTTGCCTCTCACATACCCACAGCTTCATTACCACAATGTGCCTGCTCATGCATCACATCTCATGCAGTTTTTTTGGTGAGATATCAAATCACCCAGGGAATTCAGGCCCCCTACAGCCCAGATTCGGTGCCCTGCACTTCTGGCTTTTCCCAAGACCAATATCACCTTTGAAAGGGAAGAGATTTCAGAGCATCAATGAGATTTAGAAAAATATGACAGGACAACTAATGGTGATTGGGAGAACCTATGAGGTCCCAAGGTTCCTACTTTTAAAGGGACTGGGGCATCATTGTCCTATGTACAATGTTTCTTGTATCTTGTATCTTTTTCAATAACTGCCTCTGTTTTTCATAGTATGTGGCTGGATATTTTTGGGACAGGGCTCATTGTATACATGGACACATGGAACACTTAGAGGTCAAGAAGAGAGGGAGCCAGCAAAATTGACAGAAAGAAATGGCCAGGAAATCAGGAGGAAAACCAGGGGCATGAAAATAAACAGCAGAGATTTCCAGGAAGGAGGGTGGGATCAACTGTGTCCATCGACACTGAAAGATTAGGTTGAGGACAGAAAAGTGATTGCCTACGACCATGTCCTTGGCTGAGTCTTCCTCTCCCACACTGGCTCGAATGCTGGAGTGCCCCAAGTCCTCACATCGTTCTTTTCTCTGCTCTCTAGAGGATCTTATCCAGTTCCATTTATGTATTCACGGCTCCCAGTTTTTCCTTTCCAGCCTAGTTCTCCACAGAGCTCCACTCATATAGCTAACTGCCTAGCAGACATGTCTACTTATAAGTCTAATGGACATTTACCTCAAAGTCAACATGTCCAAAAATGAACTTCTGATATTTCCTACAATCCCATCAGACCTTCTCTTATTTTCCATAGCTCAGTAAATAACACCATCTATACAGTTGTGCAAGCCAACATCTTGGGAGCTATTCATGACTCTTCTTTGCACATTTTCCTCATCCCCTATACCTGTCCATTAGCAAGTCCTAAGGTGTCACCTCCAAAGTCCAAAATTGCTCTTGAATCCATTCATGTCACTCTGTGTCCACTGCAACTACCCTAGATACGATTCATCATCAGTCCTCTGGATTTTTACCATGCTTTTTAATAATCTCCCTGCTTCCTCTCTTATATCATCCCTCACCCACTGATCCTTTTTAAGGCTCAGTTAGAGCATATGCCTTCTCTTTTCAAAACCTTTTGGGGCTCTCTCTCTCTCTCTCAGAGTAGAAGCCAGGGTCATCGCAATGGCCTACGAGGCTCCCCCGTGCCTCTCCCACCATCCTCCTCCTTCCCCGCCACGCACCCTCCAGCCTCCTCTACTCTGCTCACTCTGCCGCAGTCACACTGCTCCCTGGATCCTCCTCAACACACCAGCCATGCTTCATCTCGGGGCCTTAGCACGTGCTGTCCCTTCAGCCTGGAGCAGCCTTACACACATGGTTTGCTCCTTCATCTTCACGTCAGCTTCACAGTGGCCGTCCATCGCCATCCTTTTTAGGATTTCAACACTTCTCTCTAATGTTTCCTTTCTTTGTTTTCTCCCTAACACTTATCCTTATCAGACTTCTTCAATTTCTATCTTTCTGTTTGCATGGTTTTTTATGTATCCCCGTCCAGCCTCCACGCCCGGCAACACCACCAAAATAATTAGTTCTAGGAATTTTTGTGGGCAAGAATGCTTCTTCTCTGCTATTCTTGTGCCCAAAACGGTGTCTAACATAGCAAGTGTCATAAATATTTATTGAAAAAAATGGATGACTAACTTTTTTGAGAAAAAGATCAGAAAAACCCTGAAATACCTGGAGCAGGTTATGGAGTTCAGGTCAGAGAAGGTCAAAGGTGAAAAGAAGTAGAACAAGTTGAAGGGGTTACACAATGACCTGGTAACTAGGGACCACCTGAATAATCCCTCCCATAGGGCAGAGGAGATGAAATCAAGGTCACAGCCGAGGCTGTGGGAGCAAGGGCACTTCCTATACTATAGCAGGAAGGGAATAGGGCCGATGGATGCAGAAACTGGCAAAAGTAGGCTGGATGGAGGGAGCTGAGGCTTCTATTTGATCTGTGAAGCAGGAGAAGAGGTCATTAGCTGGAACAAGTATGGAGGAAAGGAGCAGGGGACATTAGAGGAGGGGGGTGAGGCATAAGATTCTAGGGGCGTGCAAAAGGGAGTTTATTGGAGGGGACTGGCCTAACCCCCAATAATTTCCATCTAGCTCCCTCCATAGGGATAATTCATCTCCTTCTCATTCTTCTGTGAGGCTAAGTAAAGGCAGCATCCATCTGCCCTGGGTCCAAACAGCCGCCACTCTGGAGCTGGCACAGAGACAGGTTCTCTGCTCACCTGCTCCCAGCCACCAGCTCTTCCAACGTCTGCTTGAGTCGTGTGCAGGCTCTGGGCCCTGGCCTGCGCTGCAGGCTCTCAACCTCCTGGAGTCCCTGGTCCTGCACAAAGGAGTGGAACGGTCAGAGTCACGAGGGTCCCAGACTCCGAACTCTTGTAGGCCACACCCCCATCCAAGGACCCCGCCCCGCCCGCCTTTGGCTCCAAGGGGTTGGTGGATCCGTTTTTCTAGCACCCACTGACTCCACGCCCCTGGGGCCAGAACCAACCATTAGTTTTACTTTTGCTGGCGCCTTTCCGGGTCCAACAATTCCCGATCCCTGTCCTTCCACAATTCTGGCCTCCTACGTACACCCGTGCGCTGTGCTCTTTGGCCCTCTGGGCCTGCCCCAGGTAGGTGCTGGCTCTCTGGTACTACCCATTTAGCCCAGCTCCAGAGCTCCCTTCAAAACTGCGGTCTCCTGCATGTCCCAGTGTCCCAGCCCCTCCCTGTGGGCGCCCGCCTCATTCTCACCAGCCTCTCGGCCACTTTCCGCACACAGTTACTGCTCCGCAGGCGCCACGTATGATCCTCCCAGCGGCTCCACACGTGCACACACGGCTTGCGGTGACGCAGGGACAGGCAGAGGTATGGCCTGGGTCGGGCGAAGAGCAGAGGCTGTGAAGTGAGGTCCCAGGCTGCTGAGAGGTCCCCCAGTATCCTCCTTCTAGACACCAGGAGCACTCACCCACTGCCATCCATGGGTTCAGGCCTCTGAGCAGGGGTCCCCGGCTCCTCCTCCACCAGCCTGACTCCCACCTCCGGCTCCAGCAGAGGCTGCGCCTCCCCCTCCGCACCCTCCATTCCCTCCGTGGTCCTGGACCCTCGGCCCAATTGCTCCTCCCGGCGACCTGCGTGACCTGGCCAGAGCAGCAAGGGTCAGTAGGCACCAGGCTGAGGGGCAGACCCTTCCCTCGGCCCCCTCTGCCTCAATGGAAGTCAGAGTCTACCCCCTGCTGAGGTTAACTGTCCCTTCCAGGGGCCTTAAGTCTGGAACAAGAATGGCCAACCCCAACCCTGTGACCCTCAGGGGTTGCACTAGACCACGTACCAATGGAAATCTCGAAGCTGATGGGCTGGGAGGCCATGGCAGGGTCAATCATGGTGGCCTCGAAGAGCACACCGAAAAGAAGGAAATCTTCACAGGGTGCCAGGGCATTCTGAGAAAGGCAGATCAGGCCGGAGTGAGCCCCCAGTCTCCCACATTACAGCCCAGTCTAGGTTTAGCCAAAATGCCCACAGAAAGGTATTGTAACCAAGGCCCTAGAAGAGTCACTGCAGGTATCCTCCCTCCCTCTCTGACCCGTGCAGCCCCAACCCACTGGACTCAGGGCCTAGCTCTCTCTGGCCTATCTCTGAGTGACCAGCCCCACTGCTGTCACAAGTGTACATTCACAAGAGCACATATAGATACACTGTAGGCTTCACCTGGGCCCCTACATTGAGACATCCCCCGCCCCCCGCACACACACACAAACCCCACTCCTGGGTTTCATGCCTTGGAGCGAGTTACACACACTCCAGAGCTGAGGGTGATCCTGCTCCTTTGCAAAACCCCAGCCCGCACCTCTGGCAGTGGGAGCAACTCCTCCACCTCCACCTCCATCGAACTAGGAATTTCAGGTCCACCAGCATTGGCGCTGGCATCCAGGTGCTGCTGAATCCCTGTTGGGGTCTGGCCCTGCTTGGCTTTCTTCTTCTTTCCCATGAGCTTGGACAACCTGGACCTTTGTGAGGCCTGGAGAGGCTCAGGTTCAGCTCTGCCTTCCAACACCTCCATGGACACAGCCACCAGCAGGCGGCCACGGAACCAAGCGCCAGGGCCAAGGCCTTCGTTGAGACTTTGAAAACCATCCCGGAGTCCCCCATTGGGGGGTGAGCCATAGAGAGGTATCCAGGCCGGACCGAAGGTGGGGTTAAACCCCGCTGGGGGAGGGGGGCGGGGGAAGGAAACAGTGTTTTGGAAGGAAACATGGGGCTGGTGGACTCTAAGTCAGTCTATACACTACAGCCTTATTTCCTGCAAGTTCAAGGTGAGGGTGGGGGTCAGATTGGGTCGCTGGGAGGTAAGTCTGCACAGAGCTGCGGACCACCACCTAGGAGCCCTTCTAAACCAGCTCAGCTCCGAAGGCCCTGCGGACCGTTGGTGTCTAGGCTCCAGGAGTGGGCGGAGCCCAAACCGGAGAGGTGGAGTCAGGATTGGGGCGGAGCTACAGGTGATCCGTTTTGGGGTAAATGGATAATGTGGGCTAGTCTTGTTTCTGTGCGTGTAAATCTGTAGGGAGCACAGGTCTGAAGTAGTTACTGGATATGCAGCTGTAGTTAGGATTCTGTCAACAGAGCCAAACCGAGGGTGGGCTTTGTAATCCGGGAGGGGGAGGAGGAATAGGTGAGTCTCCGAAGGGAGGAGCCGTCACGGAGCACAATTTGTCCTGTGGGGTGGACTTGGCTTTCTAAACAGAGGATGGGTTTTGCCGTGGGGGCCGGACCCAGGGCAGACAGGCTACGGGTGAAGGCAGCGCCTGTTGGCCAGAGGCACTCACCCGCGCGGCCCGGGTGTGAGATCTGCCTCAGGTCCAGCACGTGCGTGGCGAGGGCCACATCGACCAGGGGCGCGTCATCCCTCAGCTGCAAACGAAGGCTGCGTGTCAGTGGCGGGAAGAGCTCCACGAAGCTCAGCTGCTCATTCCACTCGGGCGCCTCTGCTTCTTCACGCACCGAGGTCTCGCCCTGAGCGGGGAGACGAGGACAGGTGGAGAGGGGTCAGTCTGGGATAAAGGCCTGAGCCTCGGTCTGGTGAAGGCAGGAGGAACTTACCTGTTGGCCCAGGAAAGACACGCGCACATAGGGATCCACGAGGACGCGATGGTCATGCAGGGCGCGGGCCAGACTGCCCAGCAGCCCCGGGCGCAGCGCGGGCAGCCCCTCGGCACGGTACACGCGCACACGCAGCCGCGCCCAGGGCCTCTCCGCCGGCACCCGGCGGGGCAGGAGCAGGTTCCTAGGGGAGCGGGCAGGGAGAGGCTGAGAAGCCGGAATCTCGGCCCCTCGGCCTCTTTGCGTCTTGGAGGCCATGCCCCGTCCTTCTCTCCCCTCCCTACATCACCCCTGCTCACTTCTCGATGTCTGAACTCTGCCCTGGGCCAGGGGGTGGCAGCGGAGGGGACAGATCCCCGCGCGCCCTCACGGACAAAGTGACCTTGACGAAGCCCTTGATCCCAGTGCGGGTGTCCCGGGGGTCGTGCAGCGGGGCCCATTTCTGGTAGAAGTGGCCATCTGGGGATGCAGGGATGAGCCAGGGGTCAGGGGAGACCAGCGAGATGTGTGGAGGGGGCACTTATCCGAATAATGGGGTTCGTGTTCCGCTCAGTAGGGAGGAGCGAGAGTGCAGGAAGGTCATCCTTGGAAGCGATTGCCACCTGACAAGGATCGGTGCCCAGAGGGTTAGTTTCCCTTGTCCTTGCAGATGAGTCTCAGGGAGGGAGGGGATCAGTACCTGGGTGGTCAAAGATAATGCCCAGGTCCATCCTGAAGGTGCCGATCCGGGTGGCCATGAAGGGGAGGGTCTGCGAATGGAAAGCCTGGGGGAGATGGCATTAGCCCCGGAGCGTTAGCTTCCACCTGGCCTGACAGCAGCCTTCCACCCCAACCCCCCTTACCGTAATCTCCAGCAGCAAATCTTGGAGGTGAAGTTGGGTCTCATGAAATTCAAACAAGAAGTACTGGATTGAAGTGGGGAAACAAGAAAGGGGAAAGAAGGCTATCTGTGAAGGGTTCACAGCAGCCGGGCTCCTCAAAGAAAATGCCCTGCTGAACCACCCTGCCCCCTATGGCGCCTCTTTGCACCCTTTCCCTCAAAGAGCCCATTAGACTTCAGGCCTGGCACTTGGCTCAAGTCCACCTAGGCCATACTACCACTACAGACAATTCTTTATTATGAGTCCTGCCCATTCTCTTAGGCCTCCCTCCATCTTAGCGACACCCACCTCATTGTAGAAAGGGCAGTTGGTCCCACGCTGTGTGGCAGTCACCCGGCGCTGGTCCCCAACACAGACAACCACATAGGGGTTAATGTTGACTCCCACCAGCTTCTGGGCCTCCAGCACCGTGACCCCCACCTGAAGGGGGCAGAAGGAAGAAAAAAGGAAGTCAAGCCTGCCAAAGGGTAGGGGGATAACCTCCTGTTGTGGAAGGCAGGTGATATTCTCCAAGGGTTAAGGCCTGGAGAGAGAGCGGTACCTGGAAGTCCTGTGCTCTGGGCACCTGGAAGTGATCCCTTTGGACTAGGCCCCGGGCTCGGCTGCAGGAAAGGTAAAGGCCAGGGATCACTCCATTTCCTCCCCACACCACACCAACAGTCTTACTTAATGCTTGAGATAAGATCTCCTCTCCTCTGAACTTTTGGATTCTGAGTCCTTCTGGTCTTGTCTTACCCCCATCTCAACCCTATACCCAGAAATTGACACATCCCTGGAGCCCCCAAACCATTCATTCATTCAACAAAGATATTTGAGCACCTACGATGTGCCAACACTCTTCTAGGACTGAAGTGACCAAAAGAAACACAATTTCTTGCCCTCATCAAGTTTTCATCACCTACCTGAGTTCCATAAGCTGTGTGTGAGCCCGTGTAACTATATGTGTATTTATGTGGCACTGTCTATGCCTAGGAGTGAGTGACCATTGACCCCAGGGTATCCACTCTTCATGCATATCTTGGGACTATGTATTTGTGAGGGTGGATGTGCATTGGACTTGCATGTATGAACAAGTGAGGCTGACACACTGGTGGGGTGTGGGAGCAGGTGTGAAGTGCATACAAGTTACCTCTTGAGGGGGTTGAACACGACACCAGAAAGCTCCACATCAGGCTCGTCTTCCAGCTCCAGCTCCAGCTCCAGCTCATTGTCTTCTTCGTCCTGCTGAGCTAGCCCTCGAGCTAGCCTGCGTCCCAATGCTGCAGCCCGCTGCTCCAACCGGGCCTCCCCAGGCCTGCTAGGAAAGGCCTTCAAGGGACATGCCTGGGACCTATCACCCATCTCTGGGTACCCTTTGACTTCCCTGACCCTAAAACTGACCTCTGACCCTGAGACTGACCCCACCAATCCCAGGGCTGACCTCTAACCTGGGATACCTCTAGTTCCAGAATTGACTCCTGATTCTGGGACTGGCTTCTAACCCTGAAATTGACCCAGTATTGATCCCAGACCCTGGAACTGACCCACATTACTGGTTCTTAATCTAAAGACTGACCTGGTGACTCTAGGTCATCCCCACATACTTACTCCAGCTCCTGGAAGCCCGGATTGGGGATGACCAGCTCCGAGCTGGAAGGAAGAAAAATGAAAGAAATGAAAGGGCCAGGTCTGATGACAGAGCGGCAAGCTTGGTAGCAGGGGTGCAGAGGTCACCATGTCCAGCAGATCCAGAGTGGAAGTGGGTACCACTTCTCCCTTCCCAAGACCTACCTGGATAGGGGCCACCAAGCCTTGCTTAGGTTTTGGGGGAAGATGGTTTACCTGTCCCGAATGGGCGCGCCAAAGTCCTCTTCTGCCCAGGCTCCACTAGCGCCCTCCAGGGGCTGGTACTTTAGGTCAAGCTCCACCTGGATCTGAAACCAGAGATGCAGCGTGCCCTAGGGGGCCCCTCAAACTATCACAGGGCAAAGAGAAGCCCAAGGGCAATGCCTTTTACTCCACCTATAAACAGAGAGTCCCCCCCCACACACACAGGCCAGCATCTATGGTGACTTGTGATTTCTCTTTGATCATTACTAATATTAACTACTCACAACCTATTAAGAATTTACCATGTGCAAGCACCCTCTTAAACAGGCCAAAAAGAATTCTCTCATAGTTCTTGGAAATTGATTACTTTGACCTTCACAGCTCTGTATGGTCTGGTCCATGCCAACCTTTCCAGCCCCATCTCTTAAGGGTTCTGCTCTTGCCCTGCACTCCAGTTATGCTCTCTCAGTGCACTGGGCTTTTGCCTATGTCAGTTCTTCTGCCTGGAACAATCTCCCCTCTTACTAAGTTATCCCTTATTATCCTTCATTTCCAAGTTCAAGCACTACTTCTACAGAGAACCTATTCTGACCCCCAACTAGATCACATGCCTCTGTTATACACTCTTGGAGCCCCCTACCAGCTCTTTGGCAAGGCCAGTCAGTGGCAATTTTATACTTACTTGTGTGAATATTTGTTAATGTTTGCCTCTCTTTTAGATATGGAGTTCTAAAAGGGAAAATCCTTATCTAGCAATTCTTACCACTCAATCCTCACTGCTCAGCATAGTGCTTAGCTTATAATGAGAGTTCAACAAATGATAGCAGACTGAATGGAAAGCTCCTTTGATATGGCTCCACACAATGTAAATGAGGAAACGGCTTAGCAAAACTAAATAACTTGTCCATGTCCTCAGCTGGGAAATGGTGGATCTGAGATTCAAACCCACCAGGTCCATTTCTGCCAGGATCTGCTGACCCTCATGACACATCAGGAAAATCTAGCCAGGTTTACCTTTGTCTCTCACAAGAACTGAGCCTGAGGCAGGGCCAGGGAGCAGCACAGAACTCCTTGCCTTTCCCCACTGCCACATCCCTGGCCCTCAGAGGTGAACCTGGTCCTTGGCCCATGTGGGGCTTCAGCAGGGACTGCAATGATAGGAGCCCTGGCTGGGGGGCCTTGTTACCACTCCTCTCTAGGTCTAGGTTTTCCCCTCTGAGAAATGTAATCTTCTATTTAGAAGAACTCTCAAGGTCTCGAGTGGCAGGCTTGGGGCTGGTGGAACTCACTGGGGACACTCGCAGATTCTTATCCACTAGGGCCTCACGCAGCACCAAATGGCCAGCACTCTGTAGCTGCTGCAAGGAGATCACCAGAGTCCCCAGAGACCTAGGGGTGTTGCATGGAGCAGGAAGAAGAGTGACCTGGGGAATGACCCCAAGCCACCTGCAGCCCCACCTCCCTCCTTGGCTCCCCCAGACCTACTCACCTGGGGCTGAACACACGGCTGCAGTTAACCACTTGCACAGACAGACACTCCCCAGCCAGCGGAGCCCCATAGTGCGGCCAACGGAACAGCTGGGGATAGGAGGAACCTTGTGACACCCAATGCTGGACTGACCCGATCCTCAGTCTAGAACCTGTCCCCAACCCTGAAACAGGAGCCAACCATCCAAACTAGGAGCTAACCCTATGACTGATCTTTCAAACCTGGAAGCACTCCCCGCCCACCCCCAGCATGAGGTTGATGCCAAACTAGGGCTGATCTGGTATAACTACCAATCATAACCCCCTCGTCTTGATTCTGACCTGTCTTAACCTGGGTCAGACATCTCAAGTCTGAGGCTGACCCCACCTCCTGCAATTATACTTCTCAAAAGCCAAGAATGAGCGCCCCAACCCAGGATAGACTTAGATGGGGCATAGATTAGCTTCTCCCCATCCAGGACCCAACCACACTGACCTCACCAATATCTGCTTCTTGGCCACAGCGAATTCTTCTCGTTTTCTGGGTAAAACCTGCTCAGAATTGAATCTAGGACTTGTCAGTCCTTCCCCATGAAAAAACCACTCCCTCCCAATCCTTGGCCCAGCATCCAGGTCCCCTGGACTCACCCTTAAAGAAAGGTAGAAGATGGGGAGGGAAGGAGGCAAAGAATTGGAGATATTCAGCTGGGGGATAAAGGTAACAGGCTATAGAGATGCCTAGGGATAGGGTTGGGGGCCTTGAGAATGTAGGAACCAGAGTCCCCTCATTCCAAAAATCCTTAGAGCACCCCTGCAAGCCTCACCCCGAAAGCTGAGCCTCACTTGTCGGTCATGGGTGCCCGGCAGCCCTGTCAGTCGCCGCACACACACGATCAGAGCCATTGTCCAGGGCCACTGGCTCTGCCTCTGCCCACCTGCCCTCCTGCCCTCTTGCCTGAATCGCCTCTGAGTCACTGGGCTCACCCAGCAGGTTCAGCAATCCCTGCCCTTTAGTCAAACACACAGACAGCAGGCCTGGGTGACACGGGTGGGGAAGGAGTTGGAGGTCTAAGAGATGGGTGTAAGGTCCCTGTGAGCAGCTCAGTCTTCCCTGCCTGCACCAGCTTCAGCCTTCATTCTGCATTTTTGTGGGGTGGGAGCTGGGATCGGGTGGGGATGGAGGCAAGGGTTGAGGATAGCATCTCAGTTTGGCCCAGCTAGCCTACGAGGGCTTAAGGGCCTGGGGCCTCACGTTGTTACTTGTTCATCATTTCTGTCCTCAATGCCCAGTTCAGGGTCTGGTTACACTGTAGACCCTCATAACACTAGCTGAATAAGTGGGTGGATTAACAAATAAATCTAATAGCCCCCAGCAATAGTACTGTGGGCATTCAACACATTTATTGAATTAATGAGTGATTATGTCCCTAACTTGTGTATAACAGGTGTTCAAACTAAATTCTTAACCAGAAGTCAGGGGTCCTTACCTTGGAATTACTAATAGGACCATAGATGGGTTCCAGGGAATCAGCAGACTCTTAAAATTCTTTGTAAAATATTGAGCACATGTGCATTTTTCTGGATATAGAACTCCTAGCTTAGGTTAATAATCCTTTAACAAATGTGTAGTACTTTTACTGAATGTCTGAAGGAATGAATGTATCTCACAGTCTGAATCCATGGGTGGCAATAACCATGTGCTGAGTGTATTTAATAGCCATCCACTTAATCATTCTATTTAATGGCACCTCCTATGTGCAGGACTTATGCTGTGACACCCTGAGGGGAAGGGGTCACATCAAGAGATGAACTGGACATGTCCTCTGTCTTTCAGTAGCTTCATGGACTCCAACATCGAACAAAGCCTAGAAAGACTGCAATCATCCCTGGCTGGTGTGGCTCAGTGGATTTTAGTGCCAGCCTGCAAACCAAAGGGTTACTGGTTTGATTCCCAGCCAGGGTACATGCCTGGGTTGCCAACCAGGTCCCTGGCGCGGGGGGGCATGCAAGAGGCAACACATTGATGTATCTCTTCCTCCCTTTCTTCCTCTCTTCCCCCTCTCTAAAAATAAATAAAATCTCTAGATTGCAATCACCATCAGAACAGAAGAGAGTCACGAGTCAGGCTGGGTTGCTTGGAGAATGGAGCCCAGAGGAGCATTTAAAATGGGCTCAGTGGATTGAGCACCGCTCTGCAAACCGAAAGGGCACAGGTTTGATTCCTGCTCAGGGCATATGCCTGCATCGCAAGCCAGGGCAACCGACCGATGTTTCTCTCCCTCTCTTTCTTCCTCACTTCTCCCTATCTTTAAAAAATAATAAATAATATCTTTTAAAAAATAAAATAAAATAGGCTTTGAGGACAAGAATTGAGCAGATACGGAAATTCAGGCAGTGGAGGAATGCAGGGTGTGTTCCTGAACCTGAGATTTGTTCAGTTTGGCCTGTGTACTAAGAATGTATCAGACGGCTGCAGCAGATAAGATTAGGCAGTCAGAGGATGTGGGCCTTGTCATGTGCCCTTGAGTCAGACATGGTCCCGTCTTGTGCTTCAGCTTCTTCTCAATAGTGGGGCTAGAAAGCCTGTTTTTGGGTCTATAGAATGACAGATAAGAAGCATGGATTGTTCCATTTCTTTCCTTTTTAAAATTTTTTAAAAAAGATTTTATTTATTTTTAGAGAGGGGGAAAGGAGGGAGAAAGAGAAGGAGAGAAACATCAATGTGTGGTTGCCTCTTGCGCATCCCATACTGGGAACCTCGCCTGCAACCCAGGCATGTGCCCTGACTGGGAATCAACCAGTGACCCTTTGGTTCACAGGCCAGCATTCAATCCACTGAGCCACATCAGCTGGGCTGATTGTTCCATTTCTAAGTAAGGTCCAAGTTAGATCTCAAAGCTCCCAGATGTTGGGGGAGGACTTCACCTCCCCATTTAACAGATGGGGACACTGAGACCCAAAGGAAGGCAGAGTGGGGACCAGAATTAGCTAGCAGTGCCTTGTCCACCCCCGCCCCCTGCTTTTTTTTAAACCAAGGACATGCCTATTGATTTCAGAGAGAAGGTAAGGGAAAGAGAGAGGAAACATCGATGTGAGAGAGAAACGACTGGGACCGAACCCACAACACAGGCATGTGCCCTGACTTGGAATCAAACCTGCGACCCACCGGTTTACAGGACGACCCCCCAACCAAGCCACACTGACCAGGGGGACTTGTTCCTCCTTAACATTCATTCATTCACAAATATTTGAGAACCATTACTTGCTAGGTCTATCTAAGGTGCCAGAGGACTAGAGGGATAGACATTCTTTTTAGCCGAGTAGTTTTAGATAGGGTATTCCGGGAAGTGCTGTGATGTCATCGCTTGCTTTAACATGAGAAAGAACGAGAGGGCAATGGTTCCCGGGTACGTCACGACTGGTTCTGTGACCCTCGGTCAGGGCGTTCCGCGGAAACCATGGTCTCCTCTATGACGTCAGCAGCCAGGCTCGGAAACAGGGGAGAGGGTTGGGTCCGGCCGTGGGGCCCGCCGGGTGCACGCAGGCTCGTGGGGTCCCGGCGGCGCGCAGCGGCTGAGGGAGGCCCGAGGGTTTTGGCGGCTGCGGCAGCGACTTTGGCATCCGTGAGGGGCCAGCCCAGAGTCAGGATGCGGCGGAGCCCCCGCCCAGGCTCGGCCGCGTCCCCGCACAAGCACACATCCAACTTCTACAGCGACAACAGCAACAGCTCAGTGAGCACCACCTCGGGAGACACCAGCGGCCACCGGTCAGGTGGGCCGGGGCCCGGGGAGCCCGAGGGCAGAAGAGCCGAGGGCTCGAGCTGCAGTGAGCCCGCCTTGAGCTCAGGAGTGTCCGGAGGAACCGCATGGGAAGGAAGCTCTCGGCAGAAGCCGGCGCAGCGGAGCCACGATGGGCCGACCACCGGTGGCGCGGCTACCGTGAGGGGCGGGGCCTCGGGTGCGGGCGGGGACGAACCCGGGTAAGCCGAGGGAGGGGGCGGGGCATAGGGCGGGGCGGGGCACGGAGCCAGGATAAAACTAAATCTGGGCTCCTCCTAAGGGATGGGAACTATGGAGTGAACTTATTTAGTGCGGAGAGGCACTACATAAGATGCTGGGTGATGGACGAACTGGGAAGGGAGATGAAAATCCTGTGATCGGGCACCACTGAAGAGGCGTGGCCTCAGTGTTAGCAAGAGTGGTTACCTGGAACAGAGGCAGAACCAAGACCTAAGACTGGGGCGGGGCTTCCGTTGGGCAGTGGGACCAAAATCTTGAGTGAGCATCCCTGCTCGCTCTGGGCGGGGCCTCAGAGTGCCCGGAGACCTGGGATCGGGGGACGCGGTGGGACCAAAGCCTGTGAGAGGCTGCCCGGCTTCTGGACTGGAGAACCTGAGGCCGGGTCCCGGGGAAAGAGTGGGCCTGCTGCGCGCAAGGCCCCAACGGAGCCCCTTGGGCTCCCGCAGAACCGGCTGGCTGTCCCGTTGTCTCTGAGGAGCAGTTCGACCTTCTTTCGGCCCTGAATCTGAGGCAGGAGATGCAGTCCCAGCGAGCATTCAAGAGTTTCCTGAGTATGGGCCAACCTAGCCCAGATCCCCTCTAACTCTCCGGCTTCCCTTCCCCAATTCAGTTCTCGTCTTTGAGACCCTCTGTTCTCAGTCCCCGGCCCATGCCTGAGTCTACAGCCCCTTCTCTGAGCCCGATCCACCTTCTCTGAGCCTAAATTCACTCTCTTTGCCCCCATCTAATTCTCTTAGCCCACCCCTCTTCATTTCTACCCCTCTTTAAGCACCCCTCTCTGAGCCCCTTCTCCTCCCCTCAGGCCTATTTTTGCAGGTGCTGAGCGTGTTTTTATCCCTGCTGGGAGACATGCTGGTCTGTGTGTACAGGTCAGAGGGAGGAATGGGGGAGCCCCAGGGGCTGCTCTGTGGAGAAGGTGGGGAGCAGGGCCTGGCCTGGCTGAGGCTTGAATGGATTCGGACCTATCTGAGTCGTGTTCACAGGGGTTGCTGGGTCTAGGAGCCTGGAGTCGGGGGGCTGTGGGGTTCACTAGGATCCCCGGGCCTCAGCCTCCCTCCGGTTTTTTAGGGAGGTCTGTTCCATCCGCTTCCTGCTCACCGCTGTGTCCTTGCTGAGCCTCTTTCTGACAGGTGAGAGGGTGGTAAATTCCCTGGGGCCCCAGCCCTGGATGCTTTGGAGCCAAACCAGGCCCATTTTCTCCTATGTCCCTCAGCCCACTCTGCCCCTTCAGCTCTCCACAGTCCCTTTCAGAGCCTTGCAGTCCCCCTCAAACTCAAATCTCTCAAGGCTCTTCTCCCTCACTGTCCTTTATGCCAGGGGAATCCTCTTCCACTCCCTTCCCCTGACACCACTCCCCTCTTTCTCTAGCTCTCTGGTGGGGTCTCCTGTACCTGGTCCCTCCTTTGGAGAATGTGAGTCTGGGAGTCTGTGTCCCGGGGTTGGTGGTTGGCAGGCTATGAAAGTGGAGGTTGTAGGGTGTCCCCTGCACACTGTTGGGAGGAGGAAGCAGTGCTGAAAGGACTGGATATAAATAGATTTCTGATTTTGCCCAGGGGTGTTTGAGGGTCTCTGAGGGGTCCTGGAAGGTCAGGAGAGGGGGTGGCGTCCTCAAAAGGAAGGCTCTGTGAGTCTGCCTACTCTCAGACTCAGGAGGGACAAGGTGTGGGTGGGAACTTAGTAGTGCTGTATTTTGTCCTTTCCTCCTTCCAATAGGAAACTGAGATGCTGACTCTAAGGTGAAAGATGGCACTTGGGATGTGGAATTGGGGGGCTCAGAGGAATTGGGTTGTCCGGGGAACCAAGCGCCAACCACACTGTGCCAACCTCCCACTTGCAGCGAGTACCACGAGCGCGTGCGCACCCAGGGGCAGCAGCTGCAGCAGCTCCAGGCTGAGCTGGATAAACTCCACAGGGAGATGTCCAGCGTTCGCGCAGCCAACAGCGAGGTGAGCCCCACCGCATCCTGCTCTCACGGATCCTGTTCTCACTGCTGGACCCCAGGGGCATCCAGGAGCTCTGTCCACTGCACAATCCCTGCCCTTGGAAACCCTTTTCGAAGCCCGGCTCCCTGGGTCCTGAGCCTTAAAGCCCTGCCCCAGAGCCTCAACTTCGGGATTTCTTTTGGGGACACAAAGCCCATCCCCAGATGAGTATGCCCCCCTATAAAACCAGCCTGCAAGCCACGTCCTCCCTCTTTTCAGAGAGTGGCCAAGCTCGTATTCCAAAGGTTGAATGAAGACTTTGTGCAAAAACCTGACTATGCGCTGAGCTCTGTAGGTAAGACCCATAGACACTGAGAGACTGAGACACTGACACAGGCAAACGGACACAGACATTGATACAGACAGCCGTATACACAGGACCGACCCAAGGAGTGTGACCTCAGACAGACTGTGATCCAGCTGTCGGGCAGGCCTGGGAGTCCCTGAGTGGCTGCTTCACTCCTGCTCCAGGAGCCTCCATTGATCTAGAGAAGACATCCCGTGACTATGAGGACGAGAACACTGCCTACTTTTGGAATCGCTTCAGCTTCTGGAACTACGCGAGGCCACCCACGGTTATCCTGGAGGTGGGCCTGGAACCCGGATCCGTGGGACAAGGGGCAAGACACTCGGGAAAGAACCCAATAAGCTCCCTGGAAGTGGGACCTAACTGAGCTGAGGGCTTGGCGTTAGGCGGGGCCGTGGTGGGCCTGAATGTGCCTGGCTTGGCTGGACTGTCGCTCATTTTGCTGGAGAAACCTGGCTATGCTAGGGACTGGGGTCTCGGGAGGGATCTTGCTAGGAAGGGGCCCGGGCTGGAGGTGGAGGACTGAACCTGGTGAAAAGGGTCAAATTGAGGCGCGGGGGACCGGGTAGGGAACGCTGGGGGGACGGGGCGCCATGTGACCCCACGCCCAGGCTGGAGAAAGGCAAAGTCGAAATCGCTGGATCGGCGGGTTCTGATCGACTCTCGGTCCGCTTGCAGCCAGATGTGTTCCCTGGGAATTGCTGGGCTTTTGAGGGCGACCAGGGCCAGGTGGTGATCCGGCTGCCAGGTCGAGTGCAGCTGAGCGACATCACCCTGCAGCATCCACCTCCCAGCGTGGCACACACCGGGGGAGCCAACAGCGCGCCACGCAATTTCGCAGTCTATGTGAGTGGGATCTTGAGGGCAAGGAGGGAGGGGTCTTGTTTAGAAAGCACCGAGCACTTATGAAAACTAGTGCCACTGAGTCTTCGCTTGAGCATCTATAAAATGGAGATATCCCTTGTCTGTCAGAGCTGCCATAGGCTATAAATATAGCCACATGCAAATATTAGTTACAGCTTATTGAGCACTCTGTGCTGAGTACTTTACATGGATTATCTCCTTGCATCCACACAACCTAGTACTCCCCTTCACAGATGAGGGAAGTAATGCTGAGAAAGGGGATCTTACTTGCCCAAGGTCACACAGCTAACAATTGGCCATACTAAAATTTGCAGTGTTTTCTTTGAGCCCACATTGCACACACTACACTATCCTAACATCAAGAAAACAAATGAGCCCTAGCCGGTGTTGCTCAGTGGGTTGAGTACAAACCCGCAAACCAAAAGGTTGCTGATTTGGTTCTCCATCAGAGCACATAGGCCTGGGTCCAGGTCCCCACCCCTGTTGGAGGAATATGAGAGGCAACCATTAGACGTGTCTCTCCTTCTCCTTCTCGTTCTCCTTCCCCTCCTCTCGAAAAAATAAGTTTTAGAAGGAAAAAAACCAAATGAGAGCATGCATACAGCTATTGAACACAGAGATAGTAGGTCCTAAACAAACCCTTTCTCCCTCCTCCACCTGTGCCTCACTGTTCCTCAATTCACTCTTCATCTACCAGGGCCTCCAAGCTGATGACGAAACTGAAGTTTTCTTGGGAAAATTCACGTTCGATGTGGAGAAATCTGAGATTCAGACTTTCCACCTACAGGTGTGTTTTTCTCTCTGGGGATGAGGGTGCTAAGGGAGTGGAACAGTAAGAGAAGATTGGAGAGAAAGGCAGCCCTTGGCATGATCCTTTGGTCTCCCCAGAATGACCCCCCAGCTGCCTTTCCCAAGGTGAAGATCCAGATTCTAAGCAACTGGGGCCACCCCCATTACACGTGCTTGTATCGAGTCCGAGCCCATGGCATGAGAACCTCAGAGGGAGCAGGGGACAGTGCCACAGGGGGACCCAATTAAACATGCTGATTGTTAAAACAGAGTGGAGATCTGTGCTGAAAGAAAGAAGCTGGATCAGTGCTGGAGGGTCTGTTCGGGGCTCTTGTTGCCTTTGGTATATGAGTATGATAGGGGGTTACCTCCCAACCCACCCTCTTTTCTTGAAGAAGCCTAGATCAATATAGTAGCAGCAGCTCATATTTATGGAGTGCTCCCATGTAGAAGAGATGGTGCCCTGGGCATCATACACAATACTGAACCAATCCTCACAATCACAGAGGGGGAAACCACTCAAATCAGGAAACTTGCTCAAGGCCACACAGCTAGTTTTGCAGCAGGGTCCAAGCCCATCTTAACTCCAGAGGCCACCCCTTTAACTGCAGAGCTGCCAGTCAGCCTGAAGCCATGCTTGTGAACCTCTTCCAGCCTCTGGGAAAGCCCCTTTTCATGAGGTACACACTAAATAACTGAGACTTGAGAAACTCTAGGAAGCCTTTGAGTCAGAATTGATGCAGGCCTGGTAGCCCCCACTCAGGCTGTCTGCTATGAGACCTTAGTACCCAACTCCATGCTGGGCACAATTCAGATGGTTCACCAGTCTCTGCCCTCAAGGAGCCTCATAGGAAAGAGAGGGTGTTCCAGGAAACAGGGCAATTCATGTACTGATCCAAGAATTCTTCACTAAAAAAGTGGAATTGGAGGGGAAAAAATGGAGGAGAGTCATTAAAGGATTAATGAATTCTACCTGGGCAGACAGTAGAAAAGGGGGTCCAGCATGAGCAAAGACACATGCCACACCTTGGCTGTTAGGACCCTTCCCAGTGTGTTCATATTTTGGAAGACTATACCTACTATTAACCATGGTTATTCCTTTAGGAAGTAGAATGCTGAGTATGTGTGGGGATGGAGCACAAATCCATCTGTTAAATTTTGTGGGTTTTACTTGTGTAATTTTAAGACAAAGGAGAAAGATCCTCTCAAGTGGTCTCAAAGCCAAAAATTAGAAACAGAAACTCTAATACATCTTTTCTGGAGAGCAGTTTCACAACAGGAACCAAAAGCCTTAAAATTTGTATACTCTTTAATCATTGCATTTCCATCTCTAAGAATGGATCCAAAGGATACATAGATGTAATCAAAGATACTTCAAAGAATATTCATCATACTGTTGGTTATAAAGAAAACACTGAAGCCCTGACAGTGTGACTCAGTTGGTTGGGAATCATTACATGAAGTGAAAAGTGCTGGTTCCATTCCCAGTCAGGGCACATACCTGGGTTGTGGGTTCAGTTCCCAGCAGGGAAGCCTACAAGAGGCAACTGATCAGTGTTTCTCTCCCTCTCTTTCTCCCTCCCTTCCCCTCTCTCTAAAAAAAAAAATAATAATAATAATAAGCAAAATCTTTTTTTAAAAGAAAAATCTAAAAATATTATCTAAGATAAATTATGGTACAAAATTATATGCAGCCAATAGAAATGGTAATATAAGGGAATGTTTAATGTTATGGAAAGTAATTAATGCTATATGGCTAACTTCTTTAAAAGCAAGCTAGATTGGTATACATAAAAAGTTTAAACTTCCATATGAAAATAGTTCTAAAGACCAAAAGATACTATAAATGAAAAGACGATGTCCTGGAAGGAAATATTTTCAACATGTATAAGAAAGGACTGAATAATTATAATAGAATATAGGCTATAAAACCTCTAAATTGGCTATTTGTAAGAAATAAAATTCAAGGCCCTGGTTGTGCTGCTTAGTTGGTTAGAAGGTCGTCCAGATATGCCAAGGTTTTGGGTTCGATCCCTGATCAGGCACATACAGGAAGCAACCAATGAATGTGTAAATAAGTGAGACATCAGTATTTCTCTCTCCCTTCCTGTCTCTAAAATCAATAAAAAAAAAATTTTTAATATTTTTTTATTTATTTATAGAGAGGGGAAGTGAGGGAAAAAGAGAGGGAGAGAAACATCAATGTGTGGTTGCCTCTCAAGCACCCCCTCACTAGGGTTCTGGCCTATAACCCAGGCATGTGCCCTGACTGGGAATTGAACCGGTGACCCTCTGGTTTCATGAGTTGGCACTCAATACACTGAGCCACATCGGCCAGGGCAAAAAATTTTTAATAAAATTCTCAAAAACATATGAAATACCTAGCCTTCATAATTAGATTCACACAAATTTTTTATTTTTTTGCCTTTCAAATTAACAAAAGGGGTAAAAAACTCTTTCTATGGAGGGCAATTTACAATATTAAAATTTTAAATATTTATATTGATTTAGCATTTCCACTTCAAGGAAGAAATCCTTCAGAAACATTTTTGTAAATGCACAGATAAATGTATAAGCATATTCACTACAGCATTGTTCGTCACAGAATAAAACTGGAAGGGACCCAAATCTCAGTAAGTAATGAATTGGCTAAATATAGTACAGTTACACACAGAATAATATATAGGTAGTAAAAAGAATGAGGTCAGCAATTAAGTTCTGATGGTTAAGACACCCAAAATATAATAAAAGCAAGGTGCAAACAGTATGTATTATATCCTATTTAGAAAAGAAAAATAGTCAGGCCTCGGAAAGACATGGGCTCTCATTTGCTCCATTACCTATTTTGAAGCATGCTAAAATAGTATGTATAATATGATCCCGTTTTTATAAAATAAAAAACATGTATAGACTATAAATACTATGGATAAAGGACTAAAAAAATATGCAGCAAATATTTTGTTGGGACATAGGAGTTTAGGTGTCACTTTTTTCTGTGCTTATTTTTTTCTACAATGAATATACATATTTTTCAGTATGAAAAAAAAAAGTGCTGTTAAAAAATTCAGGCTTGTAGCCTATTTTTAGGACTAAAACCGCCACTGCCCCAGTAGGTCTACTATAGCCCTTGCTCCCTCTGAAAGCCAACCCTCACCTAACACTCTCCACCTTGTCCTGTGTTCCCAGCTCAGCTCTGCTCTGAGGCAGGGCAGGCTGGGTGTTTGAATTATATTCAATCTTTGTATTTTCAAAAATAGAGTCAGTGTCCCCAGATATCTGGCCAGGAATATCTGATTTCTTTGAGTCAGGCAGGCTCTTATGTCAGAGGCAACAAATAGGCTTAGAGAGAAGTAAACATGGCTAATAGCAGATTCCCACCCCAAAACACAGAGTGGTGACAAAGTGGTGGCCATTAATGATCTTTATTGAATGAAAGGCTCCAGGGGCAAGAAGGTGGGATCAAGAGCAGCAACAGCAGGAGCAAGTATAAAAGTATAAAATATAAAGTGCTAAGCACTGGGGAGTATGTACAGGGGTGGGCGCTGGTGCATATGGACCTTGACGACACAGGGCTGAAGACCGGCCACCACCTACCATCCAATGGAATCTAGGCTTGAGGGGTCTGTGCAGGGCCTTTGGCTGGAAGGGGAAGCGGCTTCAATGGGGCATAACCTTGGGCCTTGAAGTAGGAGACCAGTTGCCCTGGTACTTCTGCAAGCACTGTCTGCGCCAGTGCCTCCCGAGGGGCCTGCCAGGAGAAGAGGGGCAGGTCAGTGGGGGCCAAAAAAGCTTCCCAAGGCCTACATTTTATACCCAAGAAGGGATACAAAAGTCAACACCAAACTCTGCGCCAGACGAAGATGAAAGCGTGTCTCCACACACGTCAGGGAAAGGTAGAAGGGTAAACTCCCTGATCTGGTATGCCCCCAAGCTTGCCCCCACTCACATTCTGAAAGCGGCGGTAGGGCACAAACTGCACTATGTCCCGGGCAGCTCCCTCCCCGGAGCGTGTGCGCAAGGGTCCACCATCAGCATCCAGCTGCTCCATGGCCTCGAAGTCAGCACCGCCCACTCCCACGATGATCACTGACATGGGCAGGTGAGAGGCACGAACTACAGCCTCACGTGTGGCCTCCACATCTGTCACAGCACCATCAGTCAGAAGCAACAATACGAAGTATTGCTGGGGACAAGGACATTCATATACTGATGCAGACTTTTTAAACACCCCTGCCACACATTCCCACACTGACAAAAGTCCCTTGTTACACAGCCCTCAAGGGAGCCAATGACCGAGACCATCCCGTCAACACCACTGCCTCCCACAGGCCTCACCGAGGCAGTCCTCTGATGTGCAGCCTGGGCTGCAAACCTGGCCACGTGGTTGATGATGGGTGCGAAATTGGTGGGGCCATAGAGGCGAACTTGAGGCAGGATCTGACGGTAGGCCTCCACAATACCCTGGATACCTAGAGAAGGAGGGCAACAAAAAGCCAGAAAATACTGGGTGACTCGGGGTTGAGACAATCCTGACATCATCCCATCCTTGGTGAGGAGATCTGGGAACCCGGGTGCATTTCATTCAATCACCCCAGTAACCCAGGCTACTTAACCTTATCCTACAGATGCAGCAATGAAGGCCAAAGATGGGAGAGACACTGCCCTAAATCACAGCTTGAATTAAAACCCAGATTAGGGGAATACCCTGAAAAATCTAAGGTAGTTGAGCATCAGATTATAACCCACTTAATAACATATGAGTTATAATCCATTTAATAAAATAAGAATCCACAGAGATATTAATGATGGAAGAGAAGAGAAAGCTCCTAATGTAGAAGGAGGAATTACAAAATCATTTGACAATCAGAGATAATTGATTTGGGCAAGGATCATTGATGGATGTTACTACTAGAGGAGGGGTTAAAAGATGAGTAATTAGATATTTATATAATCTTATTCATTACAAAGAGAAAAACTGTATTTAATTAAAGTTAACATGACTGGTAATAGGATAAATTGGCATCACGTGCCTCCTGATATGGTACACCAAGAAGAAAACGCAGCTCACTTCTGTGGTATTCCTGCCAAATATGCATAATCTGAATCTAATCCTAGGGAAATATCAGGTAAACCTAAACTGAGGGGCATTCTACAAATTATCTGGCTTGTAATCTTAAATAATGTCAGTATCATTTAAGACGAACTCTGAAAGACAAAACAACTGAATGCAGCATGGGATCTAAGGTTTT